CTTCTCTTTCTTTATTTTTTTTCTTTATTATTGCGTACTTTGTTCATTTAATCTCTTTTCTTTTATTTGGTCTTATGCCTATTTATTCCACTTCTTTCTCTCTCTCTCTCTCTCTCTCTCTCTCTCTCTCTATTTTTTTCTTTCCCCCTTTCTCTCCCTCTCCCTCTCTCTTCCTCCCTCTCTAGTCAATAGCTGTATTGGAGAGCATAAGAAATTGCGTTCTTAAATCAAAACTGTGTATGTATATGTATAGGTATGTATGTATGTGTTGTGTCTGTTCATGTATATAATAGTTTGCATTGTATCTATGTGAGTTTTAATGCGAATAAACACACACAAACATGCATCTTCTCATGGATAAGTGTTTAAGAAATTTAAGAAATGTTTATACATACTTTCTTAAATTCATAATATATTGCACGTGTATTAAATAAATTGTGTGCAAGTACGAAAACTTTTAAGAACAGATGCTATCAAGTTATATATTCCAGAAACAAGAACATCATCATAAACAAACATTGATAAAAAGATTGTTTAAATTATATTAAATTAAATTAATTATAATTATTTATATTGAATTCCACATAATATACCCTGTTTGCATGAATTAAGCAAGCGCAAACACAAATTTACTGGTCAGTAAAAAAGCAGGTTGACGGACAGCGGTCCATGCAGGCACTGAACCAGTTCAAGTCACCGACAACCCTTCATATAACCTTATGCCTCTCCATGTAGAGACTGTCCGCTAATCAACCAAATAGCAATTGATAAAAATGAATAAATAAATAATAAAAATGTTATATATATATATATATATATTGAAATGTTAGGGTATAATGATGTTTTGGTCGCGGGAATATTTAAATTGATAGCATTTGGTCTTGACGAATTTACGTATTTACACAAAATTATCCATAAAAGCACATATGAAATTATATTTAATATGCATGCAATTAAATATGAATGTAAGGAATTATTTATAAATATTTTTTAAATTATTTAAACATGACGTGTTCAATGAGGCTTAGACAAATCCATTTCTAAGTTTGAGGTACTTTTTAATCGTGATCAAAACGTTCATCCGTTCGTTCATTCGTTCGTTTGTTCAACCATTCATTAGTTTTTTTTATTCGTTTGTTTATTCGTTCAACCAACCATTCCTTCATTTCTTTATTCAATTGTTTTTTATTGTCATTCATTCACTCATTCATTCATTCATTCATTCATCACGCATATCATCATATTTGCATAAAATGTGTTACGAAAAATCTATTATACGTGTGTGTTTGTGTATGTGTGTGTCTGTTTGTCTGTGTGTGTTTTTGTGTGTGTCTGTGTGTGTCTGTGTGTGAATGTGTGTGTGTGTGTGTATGGATTTTATAATATATGTCAATCAAATGATTCGGATGACATGCCACCTAATCGACGAGCGAGAATTCGTTTGTCCTATCATGATGATGGTGATAACAAGTATGCCATGTTGATGATAATAAAGATAACGAGGTAAAATATTTGTTAGTGGTAGTAACCATGACGATGATGGTAAGATGGTGGATGTTGTTGGTAGTAACATTGACATTGATGATGATCATGATGATCATGATGATCATGATGATGATAGTGATTAGGTCGATAACGATGATGATGATGAGGATGTTGAATTTGAAATGGATAAACAGCAAAATGAGATGTGATTGACGGATGGATTATGAGCTTTGAAAACATTCATCATTATGCATCGAATGCCCATTAGAACATTCTAGAACTTTCTAGAACATTTTAAAACCGTCTGAAACATTCCAGGGCATTATTTCAGACATCGGAACTATTGATTAGATACAAACAAACTTTGTTTTAACGTTGCTACAATAATCACTAACTACGTGTCGACTCAACATCTGGAGCGATTTTGGACAAGGAACAAATCATCACTGAAATGTATTTACAGTCAAACCATTAAAAAATCTAAATTCTCATTCAACAAACAAAAAAGAGAAGAACAATGATTAATTTTTAAAATCTCATTGCACGAAGAAAGCAAGTGCGGGCGCTGCAATGTAGAGAAGATGATCGTTTTTGATGAGATGATTTTTATGGTGATGCAATGCTTATGATAGATGACGATGGTGCAAGCGATGATAGTGATGAAAACAGTGATAAGACAGTGCCAATGATGATGACGATATGATGATGTAATAAAAACACTGATGGTGATGAAGATGATAATGAAAATTACAAAAAAAAATATTAATTCTGCATTAGCATTCACGTTAACATTGTGTGAAACTGCTTTCACTTTTTTATGATGGCACAAATTGTCCATGCGTACGTCTAAGTACCTACGCGTACCTATCTATTTATATATCAATTAAATTGCTATATCAGCATTGCTATAAGCAGGTATCTAACTATTTACATACTTGTATCTACATATGAAGTTGCATGTTCTGTGTTTGCCTATTTACGCGTCATTATGTGCTTATCACTGCGTGTATTTATTGACACTTGTGTTGAATGAGTTTATAGGTAGGTAGGCTCTTCAATTAAGATGCTTAAATGAACCGCTGATGAATTTTTAATTGTTGTTTAATTGTCAGTATCTTTTGCTTTGTTTTTTTTTACGTCACTGTTGATTTTTCCATAATTTGTTTGTTTATTTGTTTACTTTTTTATCAACACGCTTTCCTGTTCTCTTAATCAATTGGTTTATTGCTCTGCTGCTTGACAGTTGATATACTTCTTGTTTATCTTCTTGTTCATCTTCTTGTTCATCTTCTTGTTCATCTTCTTGTTTATTTCTTTGTGAGGGTGTCTTCCCACTGACTGTGCCACCTAACTCTTCTTATTTTTCGTAACACTCAAGCAAAAGCTATCACAGCTGCATCACCGTCAGTTCTAAAACCATCGTCACCATCACCATCATTATCATCATCGTCGTCATCCTTACTGCCACATAATCATCATCACAACCATTTTTTCTTTCCAGTTGGCGAATGATAAATAATTATTTGTACGCATTATCTGCTATTTATGTACGGGTCTTGCTCTCTCCCTCTCTTTATATATCTCTCTATCTTTCTCCCTTTCGCTTTCCTTTTTACTTCTGCTTTCTTTCTTACTATCTTTTTTTTCTTTCTTCCTCTCTCTTTTTCTCAGTTATTTCTTTAAGTACTGAGTGTTTTCTGCTTGTAAAAATGAATAATGAATTTTGTACTGCACTGTACTGCTACCTTCGAACAGAAAAGTTTTGCGCCAACACAATCGAATATAATTATAAAAAATACTCCAGAAGTTATTAAAAAATTATTTCGCTAATTTGAAATAAAAATTGAATGGAAGGAGGAGGCGACTCGTCTGCCGCTACATGCAGAGTCACTCATCCGCTCAAATTCTTAATTTCAAGCTACTTTCAAATCTTGTTCTGAATCAGCTTTTACATTCATTTTTAAATTTATTTTAAAATTCAATTTCAATATATTTGTTCAATGAAGCAGAGCATTTTATAATTTTGTTGCGAATCTATCTTTGAAGAACATAGGCTACTACACAGCACAACGTAAACAATCGTATGAGCAAGTACAGTATATGAAGTATTTGAAACAAACACAAAATATCCTACAACACGCCGTTCACATAAGCGAAAACAAAAAAAAAGATAATGAATATTCAGAAGTCTACAAATAAACCATGAGAACAAACGCTTCTATAGGAAAAGAAAGACATAACTGCCGACTGACAATCACACGCACACACACGCGCTCATCTTACAAATATTTTTCGTTGCTCTTTGTGCAGTTCCGACAGACGAAAGCTGCTTGCACACAATCATTCCCTACTTGATTAGTAAGAGTTACAACTAAACTTTTGCCCGCCACGAGAACTTTATATTCGTCGCAAGCACCACATGCACATGCACAAATGAGGAGTTTGGAGCAAAAAGCATTTGAACAAAAACAGCTCGAAATTACGACTCGAGAAATAGCTAACTCGTCTGAGCTAACTCGTCTGCAAACATACAATCACGCAACCAATACTACATATACACAACCATATACACCACACACACACACACACACACACACACACACACACACACACAAACAAACAATCACACACACACATGCATAAAGAAAGATAACATCCATGTATATATGAAGCGGATAAGAAAGATTCGTGTAATAATCTAATGTTGCATCTCTACATGACTCAATGAACTTAATTCTCTCTATCAATGGGAGGCTCGCTATTAATTTTTTATTGAAAATTTCCATGTTTATTGTTGGAAAGCATATATGCACAGATACATACACGCGCACACGCACACACGCACATATATATATATATATATATATATATATATATATATATATATATATATATATATATTATGTATGTGTATGTATTGTTGAGATTTTATCTTTTATTGAAACAATTTTTAGTTGAATGCCATGGCATATGCTTGTTTACGTGTACACATTTTTAATTGCGCTGTCTCATTTGTATTTGAGTTGAAACTAGTTTTATACATTTAGTTAATGTGCTTGTGAATGCGTGTGATGATTGATGCAGGTTCCAGCATATCTCATGTTTGATGTTCATGAACGAAGTTGTTGCCTAAAAATATTTTTAATAATAATTATTCATTGAAATGTTCAATAATGATTTATTTCGAGTGTTCTCAAAATTTCTCTTTCATCAACAAACGTTCTAGGTGAGAAATATCATCGGGCATGATGCGGAAGTACATGGCGCATCACCATTCAAATGTTTTCACGTTGAGATACAACAAGCACAAAATCATCTTCTACATTCTGATCGTCAATTTCATTTTTGATTTTAAAGCTGCCACTTCAGAAAAAACTTCAAACGGTCCTGCTGGAAAGGCATGCAGTCCAATGAGAGGCAACAACTGCCACATCACCTCGAACAAATTTTTGGTCGGCCCTAGGCAAGAAGATTCAACACTTCTTGAACGAAACTTTCAGGTAGGTGGCGACGATGAAACTGGTGAAGTGAACCTGAGCAACAAAATAGATGGGAACGATGGGGAGACGTTTGTGAGTCTGTACGATTCACTGGTCCGTCGGTCAGACTTCCCTCTGGGTGTTATAAGCAGAAACAACCGCACTATCAGCGGCAACAGTTTTAATGCCGATGCAAATGAATTTGGACTCTTGTCATCAAACAAAATATCTGCCGCCAAGAACGTTAATTTAATTTCGTCAAATTATCAGAGACCACAAAAGCATTTTTACCATGAAGACAAACAGAAACCATCCATGCAAACAATTCCAAACTATCTCTTTATTACTACTAGCAGAAGTAAAAGGTCAAAAAACAGTTTTCAGATAAAGCCAAGAACGCAACGTAATGAAATCAGTAAGCGAAAGTGGAACGCCAAGCCGAGAATTTGGGGAAAAAGAAGTCCAAACTACCAAAAATTTGTTGAAGATCCCCTTCAAACGAACATTGATGAAGACGTCTCTAATATTCAGCCAGTCAGTGGGAACCAGGAAGATAATTTTGTCGAGATGAACAAATATTTTGAGAAAAGAAATTGGGGAAAGAAGGCCAGAATTTGGGGCAAGAGAAGTTTGTCCGAGTTGAAGGATGACGACGAAGATGAATATGATGCTTTAAAAATAGCGAATGCTCGTTGATGTTGCATAACCATCTTTTAAATAAATTTATCAAACCTTCGTCAATTTAAAATGTTTGCAAATGGTGTCATAAGAAATAACAAAAATATTTTTTAACAAAATTTCGGATGAGACAATTCTTGCATAATATGAACTAATATATTTTTCAAAAGTTTAATTTAATAAATTATTTGCAATCAGTTTACGTTGACGTTTTCTGTACACAGATTAAGAACTACATTTTAAAAGTTTAACGGTTTATATCTATTTAACTGACTTAGACCAATCGGTGTGAAATATTTTACATACTTTTTATTGCCAAACTCTTTAAAGTTTGAAGAAAGTACGAATTCAATGATGCATACACGCAGCCATTTAATAATACCGTGACATTTTTCGAGTGGGCAGCTTTTGAAACAGGCATGAACAAATTGAGGTAACTTTGCAATAGAATGTCGTATATGACTAATATGAACCCTAACCCTACAATTTATCGCATCTTCGTCACGTTATATTTGTCGATATCTTTGAAACCAACATCATAATTTTCCACATCTTGAAATTTATTTGCTTCTTCCTCTTTGTCGTCGTCAACTTCATCACCATAATCTTTACCACTGTCAACAGTGACCTCATCGTCATCAACATCATTTTCATCTACGTCACCGCCATCAGCATCGTCGTCATTATAATCTATGTCACCGCCATCATCATCGTCACCATTTTCATATCCACCAGCATCAGCAAACTCATCATCATCATCTTCGCCATCACCATCATCATTCTCATCACTTTCATCTTCACCATCGTCATCTGGAAACCTACACACAGGTTCATTGCAATGATGATATGCTCGTCCAAGTGGTTTCCAAGTGTTTACATCCCACCCATTTCCTGTTAATGAAAAACAATCCGATATTCAATGCACAATCCCATCTAAACATAGAATGGAATGGTCTAGATGAAAAGCAATTACAACTTGAAATTTAGATACTGATTCCCAATAAAAATATTTGTAATTATCTTTACAACAATATTGCCAGTGTGATAAAATCGTTGTGATATTGTAAAACTTATATCATAAAAATTAATTATATTACAATCAAATTCATAAAATAAATTACAATTTATTTAAAAATCAGCTCTTTATTAATAAATTACAACAAGAACCTTCACGTTTACGACCTTTTACGACAATTTACAACATATCTTTACAGTTATATTATATGGACAGATGGCCCGTAGCCAATAAATTTCTTTGTGATTCACTTTTAAATGGTCAGCTCTGTGTCACGTGATGCCAAGTTTGTAAAGAAGCCAATAAAATTTATTAGTTGTTACCCGCTCGAAAGTTGTTCATTTAAATTTCCATCGGGGAATTAATTTTTTACTATCGCTCGCAACTTTTGTATAAATAGCTTCCTAATTTCTATTTTTCAGTACCAAACCATCGTTCGGAGTAATCATTGAGATACTTTCCTAACTGGCGATATAAAGTAAGTTGAATGTTTTTTTTGCAATTTAAAAATTTTGGAGTTCAATGTTTAGTTTGTCAACGTTTCGTTTATTTTATCCTCAAAATTTGTTTTTAAATTAACGGAAAATATATTCTACATTTATTTTAATTCATTGATTTAATTTTTATTTTAGGATTTCATTTATCACAAAAGCAAACAAGATGTTTCCTCTCTACGGCATTGAGAATGAGATGGCCAATCGTCGGGCTTCTCGCTTTACTACAGAGAAGATGCCTATTGATCGACGAGATCGACAAATGGCAGAAAATTCTACCAAATTGAGGACCATCAGAAAAGGTGAGTCGATGAGCATTGCTGAAAGCCTTAAACATCAACAGACTCCGATGAAGTCATTCAATCAGCAAAGGAGTAACAGCACGGATTCACTTTTAAAATCAACATGTAAAAAATCTTCACGCCCATGTAGAGATAAATCGGCTAAAGCCACTAAAGGTCATACACCTAGAAAGATCAGCAACGGAGGTGATCGATTTATTCCTAGTCGATCGACATCCCAAATCACATTGGGTCAGTACCTAATGTACCAGAGCAACAAGGATGATGATGATGTCTTTCTTAGTCCATCAAAACAGCACTATCAAAAAGTTATGAGTGAAAACCTTAATGGAGACACTCTGAGCAGCCAAATTCTAAAATTTGACCAAAAACCATCAGATAATTGTAAGTTATCTAATTAATAATTTAATTATTTCATGGTTAAAATTTTTTAAATTATTTATTTAATGATTAAACATGATAATTAATGATGATGATAATTATCACAGGCTGCAAATCGAACTTGAAGATACTATACAGTTCTTCTAAGGTTCAATCCTCGACCACAAAGTCCATGCGCCACATTCCTCAATCCCCTGAACGGATCCTTGATGCTCCAGACATGCTTGACGACTACTGTATGTAAACTAATCATGTTTTGAATTCAATCACTTCAAATCTTCATTAATTTTTGTTTGCAATCACTTATCATTATGTTATCACTTATCATATTTCAAAATGTTAATTTAATTATTAATAACTTATAATTTCAGATTTGAATCTGCTTGATTGGTCAAGTCAGAACATGCTTGCAGTCAGTCTCGGATCCACAGTGTACCTCTGGAATGCCACCACAAGTGACATCCAGGTCTTGTTAGAATTGGAGGAACCCACCTACGTTGCATCGGTTGCATGGACTGCTGATGGCAACCATCTTGCTGTTGGAACGAGTGGCAATGAAGTTCAGGTTTGTTTTAGTAGAGAGTTCATGAATGTGAATATGAGTGTTTGGGTGTGAGCTCAAATAAAAATGACTTTAAAACAATTTCGAAAACATTTAATGATTATTTGTGAACAATAACCAATTTTTACGATCTTGCAGTTATGGGATGTAATGAGACAGAAAAAACTGAGATACATGAGGGGGCATGAGGCAAGGGTTGGATCGCTTTCGTGGAACGAAAATATTCTCAGCAGTGGATCAAAAAGTGGCTTCATACACCACCATGATGTGCGCATGCCTAATCATCTGGTTGAAAATTGGCAGGCTCACCAGCAGGAAGTATGTGGCCTCAAGTGGTCGACGGATAGTAGGTACCTGGCAAGTGGAGGCAATGATAACGTGCTCAACATTTATTCCAGTTTGCATGGTTTCAATTATACTTCCAAAGTTCCTTTGTATTCATTCACCGATCATACAGCTGCTGTTAAGGCATTGGCCTGGTGTCCATGGCAACCAAATTTGTTGGCTAGTGGTGGTGGGACTGCTGACCAACAAATCAGGTTTTGGAATTGTAACATGGGAGTCATGGTGAACAGCGTAAACACCAGATCTCAGGTCTGCTCAATACTGTGGTCGAAAGAATACAATGAGTTTGTTTCCAGTCATGGATTCGAACACAACCAGTTGATCATCTGGTCATACCCCAAACTGGAGAGGATCACCGAACTGACTGGTCACACCTCACGAGTTCTCCACCTCGGAATGTCGCCAGATGGAAGTGTAGTTGTTTCTGCAGCTGCTGACGAAACGTTGAGATTGTGGAAATGTTTTGCTGTCGATCCGAAGAAGAAGAAGAAGAGTGAGAGGTCATCAAGATACAATTCTACCATGAATGCGCTGCAGTGCCTTAGATGAGTAGCGAGAAGAAGGGTAGAGACATTTTTGTGGGCGTGTACATATTATTTTTGTTTGTGCGATGCATGATTATAACTATGCATACATCCTTAATGCATATATTTTCCTATCTGCTTGCATCGTTGCATACGTGTTTAATTAACATGTATGCCTATTGGCTTGCATTGTATGAATGCTGTTGTATTAACTTTTCTCTGCTTGCTACGTTTGAAATAGATGAAAAATTCTCTTGCAGTGTACCTACGAGTAGATAGTGACAGATTGTGATTGTTATGACATCGATACTTTAATGAATATCAACTATTTGAAACTGGAAATTGGTATTATTTTATGATTTCCCAATTATCCAAGCATGTTGTAATTATAATTATTATTACTATTTTATTTTTTGTTACTTTTGATATTTTGACTTCCGTATATTTGATCTATTAAATAAATATATAATCGTATACATAGATTTCTTGAACTTGTTAATTTTATTGAGAAAGATGATGGATGACGATGCATGTCAAGTAAAATGAGTAAAAATAATTATAATCGGGATAGCACAGCAATGGCGTGTTTTGGCATTTCTTGTTTATTCAAAAAAGAAATGCCAGATCCAGAGGGTTATTTGAGCATTAGTATTTGTTTCATACGTGCTTACGTGTAATTATATTAATTATATAATTTATAAAGATTTTAGAGCATATATTTTATTTATACATTGTACATTTATATGTTTTATTACTATATGTACGTTTATGTATGTACGTATGTATTTGTATTTATGTATAATAATATTTATACATGTATTTGTATAAACAGTAAATTAACTAAAAAGCGAATTATAATAAAGAGATACAATGAATGTTTGTTTGTGTGTGAGTCGTCATTACAACAATGTTAACTATTGTTAATGTACAAAAAGGCTAATATCCTGCACGGTCATTAATATTCCCACATGACCGCCTTCTGCACGTCCTTGCCTTTTGCACTGATGATTCCATTTTGTTCGCCGATGAGGTAGCATCCGTTTGCCGCCTTGATCGCCATCTTGGTGTACTTCCTTAACTCGATGATAAACGGGTGGGGTTCTGAACTGTCTGCATTCACGTTTCCTTCGCCATCTATGGACCAATATCTTCCGTTGTGGCCTTTTTGCAAGTTTATATTTTTTAATTATTTTTTCAGATGTTTGTTTTAAATGAAATCAAATAATGTCTATCTGTATGTTGTGTTTGCAACGGGATTGCTGTATGTGCGGATTCGTACGAATTGAATGTGCGTGAAGATGGTTGAATGAGAATGAAGGAACATACATAAGGTGCCAATGAATTGAATGTGCGTGAAGATGGTTGAATGTGAATGAAGGAACATACATAAAGGCGCCAATGCCGATGAATGGAATGCACCGCTGATTCTCTCATTAATTTCAAATGAAAGCTGCATGTTCGTCGTAGAACTTATTAACACAAGTGTTAATGGTTTTCAGGTCGATTTAATTTACTGACAGTCATTTTGCAGCATAAAATATTTCTACGCTATCAACTTTAAGAATACCATTTATTACTATATATGTCTTCACCAATATTTTCTTCATATTATTTGATTTCACTCCCACTAAATACATCCTTTACGTTCTATATTCATAAATTGCATTCTCATCGTTCCATACATTGCATGCCGTTATCATCCGTGCGTCTGACATAATTTGATTTGAAGAATAAAAAAATTACCTTTGAAATAATATTCTCCACATTTTTTGGCGGGTTTGTGTTCAACGAAAATGATGTCGTGAATTGTTTTGTTGCATTCGTAACGTGGGTTGTTCTGGGTCCTGAAGCCAACGAAGCCAAACTCAGATTTGAGGACGAGGATGGGTCTGTTTATAATCCTCGCGTAGAAGTGTTCCTTCTCACTAACAGAGTCAGACTGTGCGTACAAACTTCCATTCATTTTGGCCGATACAAACTTCCCATTGCTCGCCCTCAGGGTTATGGCCCCGTTAGGTAGCCAGTCTACTGTGAATAACTCGTTTGGATTGCTGGATTGGGATGTTGAAAATGAAAAATTACTACTAATTCAATTACGAACAAACATTTTATTAAAACTTGAATAAAATCTTCGAGATATTATACGTAATTTGGTAATTTAAATGTTTTCAGTTGAAAAAATTTGTTAAGTTGAATAAATCAGTAAATAAAAGTTTGAAATGGAACGCACTTTCCATTGCCAATGCATTGAATTCCGTTAGAAGCGGGATCGAAGCACCAGTAGTTGTTCTCGCACGTCTTCACCCGCCACTGGTGCGTCCGCAGGTCGAATTCGATCTGGAAGGTCTCCTTGTCACTGAGGTCGTTTATGTCCGTGTCCTGATTGGCTGACATGTCGATGCCTGACAGTTTTATAAAAAAAATGTTCTTTATGTTCAATAAATTCAAATTTAAAATTTGATATACTGATGAACAATTGTCGCACCTTGCTTGAGAGACACCATCTTGCCGTTATGAGCAATGAAGTAGACTTGAGCCTGGCTGTCCTCAATGCTGAACAACTCATCCTTGCCAGCTGATTTGTTCTTCGACTGGACAACGGCATCTTTCCCGATGGCCGTTAAATATTTTCCGCTATGATCTTTTAAGGCCAGTCCACAATACATCCCTGATTTTAACTCTATCGTGAAGAGCGTGTCGGAGCTCGGTTGATCAACTAGGCTGCCGTTGAAATGAAGATACCGGTCATCACATGTCTTCACTCCGTACCTACCTTCGATGAATTCGATGGTGATAAGTGCGTCGGCACCCCACGGAGTAATCTCGTCCACTTGCAGATGGTTTGTTTTGCTGTTCAAACGTGCGTACTTGTTTCTGCCGTAGTTTCTCAAGTTTATCTGTGTGTTCATATATTTTGAATGACTTTTAAATTTCTGGTTTTGCAGAATAAATTTTTATTGAAAAATTTAAACAAAGGCTTTGTTCTTTTGTTTACACAGTGTTTTATCATCTGTTGCCACGTGTTCATGTTTCTTCCTATCACTTGCTATCTCTCCTTACTACCTCTCTCTACATCTTACTATCTCTCTCTCTCTATCTCTCTCTCTCTATCTCTTACTATCTCTCCTTTACTTTCTGCCGCAACATCAATGTGTACAGTCCATGTAAACTCTATGTGGCAGATAACAGCATTAAATATTCATGAGTTTATTTGGCAATCAACTGAATATTCAAGGCACACAAGCGCACACTCTTTAACGAGTTGTACGAACATGTACACCGTACAGGATATTCATTCCATACTTATTCATGCAAATGTTGGCTTTTATACCAAAATGAAAACAATTTAAATATTTAAAAATGCAACTTTCGGATGAAATATTAATTGCAAATAACAACAACTAAATTTGTATGGAATCAAATAAAAATTAGATTTTTTTTCGAAACAGCATCCATCTATCAAGCAATTCGCAGATACAAACCTGGGGGTGGACGGCTAGGTGGGCGTACCACCACTCGGCAGCACCCGGTTGCTTTTCGTGGCACTGCACAATTTCATCGGTACCACCAAGGTACAGACCGGTACTTCTATTACATATCGCCCATCTCCCTGACTGATCCGGACAATAGTATATTACGAATTTCTGCGCATCACCTTTCGATTCTGAGTCACATGTGGCATTCCCTTTCTTATCTCCGGCCAAATATCTGCCCAGGTGACTCTTGATGTATATCGTGTCCTCCTCGTTTGCGTCCTGCTCCACTGTCCACAGCTGCTTCTTTCGCAGCGAAGCACCGGAGGCGTTGATCTTGAAGCCGAAAGTTTCGGCCGTCAAGTATTTCAACTGGTGGTTCACCAAACCAACTTTCCATATTTGAGTTTGAGGTGAGGACCGGTTGTTCATTGTTGATCGTTAAAATTGTTGATCTTATTAATGGTGTTGTCGAACTTGTACTAGCTGTTTGGTTTTATTACGTAGACTTTCTAATACGAATAAAGTTAAATGTTGACGATGTTGTGGACGAGTATGTTGTGGCGGTGACGATGTTTCAGTAACAATGTTGCGATCAGAAGATGTCAAATTCAACAATATATTTGAAAGTTCAGTCCGAGTAGTTGGCGCATAAGTACCTTCCAACCAACCGGGAAGTTACAACTAAAACTTAATCAGACCCGTTCACGATTATTTATTGAAATAGTTTCTCGTTACAAGTATGGTAAATCTATAAAGCACAAACAAATATATGTTCTTATCGTGTATACATTCATACACGTATTTCGTTAGGTATAAATACACGCGTGTAGCTAGACATACGTATAGATGTATATCACATAGCTCATTATTGTATATTTATGTAACATAATTGCATACGCACAAATTTGTGTGTTTTGTTTGTGTAGTAGTACCTTATTACAAGCTATTAATTAGCGCAAACATTCAGGTTGTCGTTGCGTAACGTTTAAACAAATTAGTAAAATGTTGGACCAAAAATATGCGAAACAGACATTCTGCTAGTTTTGTAAAAATGTTTAAATCCAAATAATTTTGTTACACCTACGAGGCAAATAAAAATAGAATGAGAGAGAGAGATAGAGGGAGAGAGAGAGAGAGACAGAAGAGATAGAAGAGAGAGAAAAGGTGCAATTATGACTAACTGAGGACAATCACATATTAAAACACATTCATACAAACATACACAAACATTCAAAATAAACTAAATAAGCACACACATACGTACATACAAACAAATATACATACACATATACAAACGTATATGAAAATTATCACACAATATAAATAATTACACACAAATAACACACTCACATCCAAATGCAGGAGCATACATTTTTACCATTTCTTTGACTATATCAAGCAGAAAATTTTTTATTCACACAACTGTTCTCTACTTACGTACAACAATTTTATGTACCTGCAACAATACTATGAAAATATAAATTAATAAATTTAAATTTACAATAAATTTAAATTTACAATATGTAATGTGTGTGTGAGCGCGCGCGTGTGTGTGTGTCTTTCTTCAGAAAAATATCTTACATATGATGCATAAAGCATAGTTAGTACTTAGCTGATAGCAAAATATGTTAGTATCAGTAGTATAAGTAGTAGCTGCATCAGCGAAAGCAGTAGTAGTGGTAGTAGTGGTAGTGGTAGTAGTAATAGTAGTAGTAGTAGTAGTAGTAGTAGGGTAGTAGTAGTAGTTGCAGCAGCAGTAGTAGCAATAATAAAAATAACAAAATTATTGTGGATGATAAACATCAACAAGAGAGGCAATTATAATTTTGTGCCGATAATTAATCATAATTAGTCAATCAATTAATTATATTTTGTAATTGTTGCCGGCAATTTTTATACAATCATTTCTTTAATTATACAAATTTGTAATTCCACAAAATGGTATTGTGGTACAAGTTATACTTGAGTGTGCTGTGTTAAGTTTATATATATATATGTATTTATTTATTTGTGTGTGTGTGTGTATTTGTGTACGTGTGTATGCATCTGCGTTATTTTTGCCAGTGTTAAATCAAGTGTGACTAATGTTAACAGCGAGCTAAACAATGGCACTTGAAATTGTATATCTAATATTTGTATATAAATGTAATAATCATCGTATGTGTGTGTATATATGTATATATATATATATATATATATATATATATATATATATATATATATATATATTCACACACATTTAATATACACATATATACATGCATATGTATTTGTGTATATATATGACTCTTATTCATAGGTTTGTATTGTATCTATAAATATGCTTCTCGAAAACCGTTCTGAATGATATTTTCTCATCACACCATGCAAGATTGTTTTTGAGGAATGCAATTGTGTTTTATTTAACTCATACAAACACACACACAAACACACACACACACACATACATGTACATTTACGTAGTACATATTCGTTCGTTGAAAATATCGTTGAAAATCGAATGAGTTTATGAATAGTTAAATATTATACAAGTGTTTGTATGTGATTTTGTTTGTTTGTATGTAATTGAATGTTTGTACGTATTTGTATGTTTGTGTCTGTGTGTTTGTTTGTGTGGTGTGTGTGTGCGCACGCATACGTACATACGTGTGATTTTCAATGAATAATACATACGAAAAGTACGCACGTGTATTCACGTTCTTTTAATAAATTCTGTACTTTCATTCATTTTCCCGGATCTAATTGTGCGCAAGTATTAATTATGGTTACTGTTATTATTATTATTTTATGATTATTATCATCATTATTACTATTTTTATTAATAAATTTATTAAATTTTATTGCGATCGCTAACTATGCTGCTATTTGCCATGTCTCAAATATGGCGGGTTCCATTTGAGAGCAGTTGAATTATTGGATCACACCAAATTTTTTATACATCCTCGTCAACCCCGACACGATAAGAATATCAGAGATAATAACAATCGTTATAATATTCGTCGTCATTATCAGTATCAGCAGCAATAATTTAAATAATGAAATCATTAAATAATTATCATTAAAATCATTAAAATTCATCATCGTCGTCGTCATCATCGTCATCTTTTCTGACAAATTCTTAAAATTTAAAATTCTTTACAGCAAGTTAAACGTCATTGACATTGTTGTATGGTAGCTATCAATATTTCATTTATATTAGTCTTCACTAATAATAATCTTCATAATTGTTTGACTGAATGTCATCATCAAGCTTCAACTCAACACCTACACTATAGTATACAGTAAAAGTTCCAAAGAGCGTACAGTTAAGAGTAACAGACAGTTTTGCTCTGCATGGAACTATTTTCCATGTTAAATGGTCCCTAAAGAGCGACTGACTTTTTGGTACAAAATGACGAGCGGACAATTTATAAGCAAATATTTTTTAAAATTTTACAGAGAGGCGCCGACAAAGCGTTTTAATTCTTTGGTTCGCTTTTTAAAAAGTTTCTTTTCGCTTTATTTATCGTGATCTCGTTGCTTCCGTTGTTCATAAATCTCTTGAGGACTTTTACCGTAATCATGTTTATCGTTATCAAATGTTTTATCGTCATCGTCGTCACCATCCTTGTAACTCTATTCATCATCATCGCCATATTTCATATCATCATTATCCTATTTGTATGATCATAATCATTGAAACTTCAAGCTCAGTTGATATTATGTAACTCCCAATTTTTTGCTAGTATATTTTTTGAAGTATATTTTTTTTACATTAAGAGATTTATTTGCGAAATATTTTTTTTCACAAAGTTGTACGTATGTGATTTCTATTGTAGGACTGTATCATTACATGTATTGTATATCATTACATATTTTGTATCATTACATGGTTTGTATATTATTACATAGTTTGTATATTATTACATATTTTCAAATACCATTACATATTTTGAATAACGTAATATGTATTCTATACCATATGTATTTTGTATATCGTTGTATATTACACATTATTTAAAAAAAAATTCAAAGTTATTTTCCTTTTCATTCCCCAGGGCTAGGAATACCTTCACAGGACATACAAAACATACAAAGGACAATGTTTTTCATTTTTCAAGTTAATTTTCATTTGATTCGTCAGGGTCAGTTTGTAATGTATGCGAACGAAATGACTCGACAGGAAATGGGTTTTATTTAATAATTATTACATGTAGCTTGATAGATTATAAATGAATGAAAGGTAGATAAAATGAAGGAATGAAAATGATTGTATATCATTATGTATATTATTCATCATTACGTATTTTTTACATAATTACATAGTTTGTATATCATTACATAGTTTGTATATCATTACATATTTGGTATTTGGATACCATAGCGTATATTGTTAATATACATCATGGTTGAATAAACTTCAATTATTTATTTAACAAAACGTTTATATAGCATTAGCAGAGAGTTCAACGAAGCCAATAACTTACATATTCATCAGTCAGTCTGTTATTATTGAATTTTATGATAAATAAATTACATAAGTTTATAAAGAACATGATTTTTTGTTTTAACTTTTTACATTATCACAAAACACTTCAGATAAAATCAAGTTAAAATCTAATGTAATTCATTATCATAGTTCTTTAATGGCCAGTGTATGATTAACTTTGTCTGAGTGTTCTGAAACAGATGAGTGACTGAGACTTGGTGAAGTCAAACTTTCTGAACCAACGTCAGAGCCGAATGAAGAAGGAGGGCGTGTCTCGCGAGTGGGGCTCCACCTCTTCATCCAATCACAGGGCTCGGATTTTTTAAGTTTTATTTTTATATCCCCCTTGTCTCCGTAGTGCACCTTGGAATCGAACAAATTTTCGAAAATTAAAAGGAATGTAAAAAAAGAGAATGAAATTGAGATCATTCAAACAATTTATAACATAATAATTTTAAAAAATATTGTGAAGCGTTGGAATCATCTGCAACTTGGCATGGAGTAGCCCACCTACCAGCCAGTTTATTTTTATTTTTTATCAAAATATAACAACGTAAATTCCAAAAGTTGGAAAATCGAAAAAATTGACGATGATCCTTTTAAAAATATTCATCAGCCACCATCGATTGATGAAATTCAATTGAAAATGTACTTATTTTCCAACCGAATATTTGCAGTCGGATTGGATAATCGGTCCAGGAAGAATTTTGTTGCACAATTCCTTTCCGTTGAGTCGTACGATCAATGGTTCATCTCTGTTATGATGATTGATAATTTAATTTAAATTGGTTGGATGGCTGGTTGATTAAGAAATGTTTAACTGATTAAAATTTGACCGTCGGGGCTAATGTATACAAAGTTCACTCAAAAATAGACAAATGATGTTGACGATCAGAAAACAAGAACAACCATTTAGATAGATCGAGCGATATCATCCTCTGAGCAAGCAAATGTGACTGAATAATGATCTAAATTGTACCTCAAATATACACGACACTTAATTGTTTCCTCAGAAACACACATACACTCACAGATACACCCACAGATACACACACAGATACACACACAGATACACACAAAAGAGACTACATGCACGTACTCACACGTACGCAACCACGCACATTCACATACCAACGAACAAACACAGCGATTCATAACCTTCAAAACAAAATCAATAGAAAAGTGAGAGGGAATGTTACAAAGATACTTGCAAACGTGTATAGAAACATACATACAAATACTGTGATATATATATATATATATATATGTATGTATATATATATATATATAATTATATATACAGTATAAAAAGGAGACTAATACATACTCATATCCATGCATACCAACAAACAAACAAACACAGAAACGGCATTCAAAAGCTCATTTCATTGTTTATCAATTTTAATTCACACGTAACACGACCATACTGCGAACTGAACATCATCACACCATCATCATCATCATATAATTTCATCATTATCACCATCCTCTTCATCATGATCATCAATATTCATTAAGGGATTTAAGGAATTTATTTGAAGATTGAATACACACAGACATAGACACACACACACACCACAGACACACACATACATAGATACCCTATATACCTTGAATAGATACGCACACAAACACGTACATTCAAACACATACATACAAACATAGAGATACAAGACAAGCAATATATATACAGAGTTCAGTGCAACGCAGCCCTTGAGTGATCCTATCATAAAATCGTAAATAATTTTCATACATGGATGGACATGCATACGAAACGAAATTTTACACACACACACAAACACACACACATACAATAAACATACATACACACACACACACATATATACATACACAAACAAAAAAACTATTTCGTATCTATACACGCATACAATACTAATATACAATTTGAAACAATCAAAATTTATCACAAATTTGAAAACTGATAAACAATTATTCGTAAAAAAGATTTCTGTTCAAAAATAAACACACACATACACACACACACACATACATACATACACACACATACATACAAACTTGTGTACATAAATTACTTATTGTTTGCTCACACGATGAATATGTTCATTGAAAATATTGTATCAGGCCTCTATTGTGTTGTGTACATATCTAATATCACTCATGTGTTATCATTTCTATGTTATCACTTTTTCTCATCACCAATATGACAATAGTAATAATTACGATAATTATTATTATCATTATTATTCTTCTTCTTATTATTATTTTGTCATCATAAAATTATTGCATCCAAGTCATCACTATCAAGGCCCCATTATCACCATCGTCATCTTCATCGTTAGCATCATTATCATCATCGTGGTTATAATTATCGTCATCATCATAATTGTGGTTATAACTATTATCATCATCATCGCCTGCTTATCTTTGGGGAATATGACCTCGATAATGTCCATCCTCCTGAGTGAGATTGTAGCCCACCATCAACCTCACCTCATCGCCACCCTTATCACTTTCACCCCATCGTCGTCATCATCGTCGCCATCATCATCATCATCAGGAACCACCTGTCATTTGGGAAGATGACCTCGATGTTGTCCCTCGTCTGGATGAGGTTGTTGATCCTCACCACGATCTGTGCTGTGTGCTGGCTCACATCTTTCTTGCGAACTGTTGTCATGACGATGATGAAAATTATGATGATGATGATGACCATTATGATGATGATGATGACCATTATGATGATGATGATGACCATTATGATGATGATGATGACCATTATGATGACGATGATGACCATTATGATGATGATGATGACCATTATGATGACGATGATGACCATTATGATGATGATGATAACCATGATGTGATGACGATAATAACTATGATACTTGTTATGACGAAGATGATGACGTTGATAGGTGAAATAATGATGACGACGACGATGATGATGGAAGATGTAATGATGACGAAAATGATGATAATAATCATATGTTGATAACGTTGCTGATTATGAATATGATGTTATGATTGAAGGAAGTTTACTGATAAGAACAACGAAGAAAAACCAAGTATAGGTCATAAACTGCCAGGAATATTGATTGTACGATGATCACTAGTGCAAGAGAATTTCAAAAAAATATGTTAGGCTAATATCTTTTAATTGAAATATGTATTTACGATGCAATTCTATGTACGCCCTCAGAACGTTTGTGTAATCACAAAACGAAACGATACATTACGATACGACACGAAATTTTACATAAGTATGCACTGGCACCTGCGAATAAATCTAAATTTATAGTGGTAATTCGTTTTAAATAATATTTGGATTCACTTGTACGGTTTTGTTCATGAATGCTTATGAGCCTATGATTGACTGTACACACACACACACACACACACACACACACACACACACACACACACCACACACACATAAAATGGAACTATGAAGTGGGTAGAAAGAAAAGTAAATAAAAAAAATTTGAGCGAAATAAGAAATGGAAAAAATATAAAAAACATAAAAAGAAGTTAATTAAGAAAAATATATAAAACGAAAATATGTGTAAAAAAGTAGAAAAGAGAGAAAGAGAGAGAAAGAAAGAGAGACAGAGAGAGAGAGGGGGGAGGGGGAAGGTAGTTATTTGATACATTTGAAAATTGAAAAAATCTGCAAAATACAATAGTCTGTTTTCAATTTTCCATCCTATAATTTTCAATTTATAACAAAAACGCTCTACTATGCAGTATGCCTACGTATGTGTGTGTGTGTATTTTTGATAAATGTTTTTATTCCATGTCATTTGTATGTATGTGTGTTTGTATGTTTGTATGTTTTTGTATGTTCACACTCATTTGTTTGTTTGATTGTTAGTTTGTACATTTCTAGTTTAATCAGTGAAAAAAAGGTGTGTATGTGTGTGTGTGGTGTGTGCGAGAGAGAGTGAGGGAGAGAGAAGGAAAGAGAGAGAGAAAGAGAAAAAAAAAGATTTACGTAGATAGAAAGATGATCACGATGAACGTTACATCTGTTGAACAACTGTTGCATCAGTCAGTCACTAATCCAATCACGCGGTGATAGGTTTCTATGGATCGAGAATAACAACAACAGCAGCAACAACAACAATAATAATAATGATGATGATGATGATGAAGTAAATAAATACAAACGTAATAACATGATAAATATGCGCAAGCATTATAATAAACCATCTAAAAAATTATACACCAGCGAACACACACACGCGTAGCATAGCCTAGAGCCCGCAGGCTTTTCAAGGACCTGAAGAACATAAATCAGACTTGGTTATTTAAAATTACCTTCGTAATTTTTAAAATTTTAAGATAAAAGAAACACTCGATTGAGTGCGATGTACGGAATGTAATTCATAGAATAATTAACAATCCAGAATGTTTATATGGATTTCAAATCGCAAGAAAGTGCGAGTGCCTTCGCGAAAAATATTAAAATGGAAGTCGTGGTCTTGAAACGGCCCTGGGGTAGCATAGCAAACATTCAAACACACGCGCATGCAAACATACGTAAATACATACACACAACAAACAAACAAACATACATGCATACATAGATACACACACATACATAAAAATACAAGTACACACATACAAACAGAGTCACACTACACGTGCACAAACTGCATTAAGCGGGTGATTGAGAGAGCATGGCCTGCATGCAATCAATTAACTTCATCTTGACCGTTGCTATGGAAAAGATGATGATGATGTTGTTGTTGTTGGTGGTGGTGATAATGATAATGATGGTGGTGATGATGACACTGATGAGATTGGTGACAACGGTTCTGGTACAAAACCAGTGTGATTGTAAGTATTTTTTAAAAACAATGAAGATAATGATTTTGTTGTGGTGATGACAATAATGATGATGATGATAATGATGATATTGACGCAATGATGATGATGATGATGGCAGATTAAGAACGACCTAAGTAATAAATAAGAAAATGATGATGCTGACGACGACGATGATGACGTCACCTCACTCACATTCACATTTTATACGAGATTGAATTTCAAAAGATAATAAGCCATTTATGAGCTGCGTAGCGAGAAGGAAGACGATGATGACGAAGATGACGACGATCATGATGATGATGATAAGATGACAGAGCGCTGGTTATGGTAATGATGACCAAGACAAGGATAGGAATAAAAAGCTAGCCGTGTAATTGAAAAGACGTGTTATTGTATGCGTGCGTTCGGATGCGAGATGTACACATATGTATGAGCGTATGTATGCTTATAAATACGTTTGTATATCAAAATTTGTGTATTTTTGTTTACGTAAACTTATGTGTATATGTATACGTGTATGTGTTTATGTGTGTAAATGTATGCGTGTATGTATAGATATGCGTTATGTGATTGTGTTTGCTTAGTGTCGTATCAGTTTGCACGCACGCATATGTATGCTACGTACGTACGGGTTTTTGTGATTTTATTTTCAGTACGAATGTTTTCATGTTTGTGAATATTTTCATGCAGATGTGAGTTAGGAAGATTCAGCAGGCCTGGCAAGAGGTTAATTAATGTGTTTTTGTAATTACACATCGATTGCAGATAACTTAAAAAACAAACAAAAACGCAATCGTTATCAAAGTTAGCAGAAAACAAAAAGTTAAACATGAAAAAAAACAGATTAACAACAAAACAGACAGACAGACAGACAGACGAACAAAAGATACAAATTCTCAAAGGAACCAATATATTGGCATCAATGTGTATCTAGACATGAATCAAACTGGGCAGTTTTGTATGTGTTATGTTTGTGTGTTTGTATGTGTATGTATGTTTGTATGTGTTGTAAATGTATTTATGTACTTGCATGTTTTTATAACTATGTGTTAATGTATTTTGGTTTAATACCCGCTGTTTATATATATATATATATATTGTATGTATATATATATATATATATATATACATACAAAAAATTCATGTGTGTGTGATTGTGTGTGTGTGTTTGTTTATTTGTTTGTTTGTTGTTGATGAATGTGGAGGCATACGTATGTCGTGAAATATTCATGAAGAGAAATTTGTCAAATAAACCATCAATAAAAAATATGCAGTGAAAAAATGATGATGATGTTGTGATGTTTATGAAGATGACGATGAAGAAGATGATGCTGATGATGGGAATGATGAGAATAGAGAAGAGGATGATGACAAAGATGATGGTAATATTTTTTCATTGACGTTACATCTCTCTAACGTCATAAACCGTTACATCGTAAAATTTCCATTTCCAGGTCAGAAGATATCAAGACGGATGGATAGAGAAACGCATAAATAGGTGAATGGATGAATAGATGGATGAATGAATGGATGAATAGATGGATGAATGAATGATTGATTGGATAAATGAATGATTGATTGGATAAATGAATGAATGAACGAACGAATGAATGAATGAATGAATGAATGAATGAATAGATGGATGAATAAATGAATAGATGGATGAATAAATAAATGAATGAATGAAAAAATAAATGGATGGCCAGATGATATGACACCATCTACAATTTAATACATCCGCCACTGGGTTTATAAGTAATAATTAGTCAGATGTGATGAAGGTGATGAGAATGGTTGTTATTATTATGATGGATGACTTGATGGTTGGATGGATGGATGGATGAATTATGATTAATAGACAGATAAATTTTTAGGTGGATAGACAAGGGATAGACGGTTGAATTTAGGTTTTAGATGAATGAATGAATGAATGGCTGGCTTGATGGATGGATGGATAGATGATTGAATGAATGGATGGAATGCTAGATGGATAAATGAATAGAAGGATGATGGATAAACAAATGGACCAACTTACACCCCATTAGTTTGGCGAGTACTTGCGAACAGGCCATCCTTCCAATTCAATTCAATTAAACGATTTTTAATCAACTAATTAATTTATTTATAATTATTCATTAACTTAACCTATTGTTATAAATTCGCTTGGGGTTGTTTACAACTGACAATCGTAGTGTTCGTATATATATCGCCGATAAGAATCAACTCGAACGATAAATTGGAACTATCAACAAATAATTACAAAATGAGTTATTTCATAATCGCACACTTGTAAACGAACGAACTCAATTTGGAAAACACACGCACTTCAACTCGTACTTGCCACACTTCGTAACTTTCTGTAAACACACATACATTCGCTTCGTGTGTCGTCCTATTTATCAGCTTTCTTTTGCAATTCTTAGATATTTTACAATACGGCGTACCATAGATAATTATTGTCATAATTATGGAGCGCTGTATTTATAACATTACACCCTCCTTAATTCTGTTAGTCCCGAACAGATTCAGTTTTACCATCGGCCTGAAAGGGGCCTAGCCAGGGTAGGGGCCATCCGGTCCAGATGCACGATCTTCATTTTGATCCGAGGCTTACCTCGTTCTCGTACCCGATACGCCACATTGTCGATCCAGGTGGCGACTTGGCACGACTTTTCTCAATCCTTCCACTCATTTTCTGCGTGATTCATAAATAGTTGAAGGTCATCAATTTGTGCACTCTGTTCCTCAGCCTACTCATCCTTTAATTTTGAGTCGTTCTTCCGTTCTTCAATTTCATCTTGCAGTTCGTTCAGTCCAACACGACTTTTATTTTTGAACTTTGCTAACGATATGGTGAAAGTACCTTGGGGCTGTTTCTCCTTTTTTTCCGTCTTTACTTGGCAAACTTTGAGCATCTGCTTCACTCTTATGTCATTCTCATCTTCCTGTTCTTTGATCTCGTCTGTATGCTCATGTTTGGGTTTTTCAAATCCTTCATGTTCCTAGTAACTGTGATATACGTGGTGTCTGCTTCACAGTTTGCACATGCTTCGCTGATATCACCTGCATTATATATAATATACGTGCTTTCCAACTTACATTATATATATATATATATATATATATATATGTTGAACTACATTCCTTTTAAATATATATATATATATATAATCTCTATACATATAATCTATTTATATATATATTATATATAATCTATATATATATATATATATATATATATATATATATATATATATGAACAAACGAATGAATGAACGAACGAACGAACAAACGAATGAATGAATAGATGGATAAATAAATGAATAGATGGATGAATAAATAAATGAATGAATGGAAAAATAAATGGATGGCCAGATGATATGACACAATCTACAATTTAATACATCCGCCACTGGGTTTATAAGTAATAATTAGTCAGATGTGATGAAGGTGATGAGAATGGTTGTTATTATTATGATGGATGAATTGATGGTTGGATGGATGATGGATGGATGAATTGATGGTTGGGTAGATGATGGATGGATGGATGGATGGATGGATGGATGAATGATTTATGATTAATAGGCAGATAAATTTTAGGTAGATAGACAGGGGATAAACGGTTGAATTTAGATTTTAGATGAATGAATGAATGAATGAATGAATGGCTGGCTTGATGGATGGATGGATAGATGATTGAATGAATAGATGGAATGCTAGACAGGTAGATGGATAAATGAATAAATGAACAGAAGGATGATGGATAAACAAATGAACCAACTTACACCCCATTAGTTTGGCGAGTACTTGCGAACAGGCCATCAATTCAATTAAACGATATTTAATCAACTAATTAATTAATCAATTAATTTATAATTATTCATTAACTAAACATATATATTATTTAAAATCAATCAGTCATAACTTCCTATAATTAACTAATATAATTAATTAGTTAATTACCTATTATTTATTATAAATAGGTATAGTCGTTAAAGTCAATTTATAATTATTTTATATTTATTATTTTAAACGTTTAATTTTTTTATACGAAAAATTGTGGTTGTTAATTTAATAAATACGTTTATCCTATTTATTTTATTCAAGTCGGAGTTAAACCATCCAAGGAACATCTTATAGAATCACGAATTTTGAACAAAAGTTTCGAAAATATTTTCAAGAAAAATTGTTAATTATTTGATTATAATTAATTCCCGAGCTAATAAATCAATAGATATTATGTTAACTTATTAAAATTAGGTTACTTTAATGAATGAATAGACATGGAAGAAAATGTTGATGGAGTCTCTTGTGAAATATGTTAATGGTGATTCACCAATCCAATCCAGCAGCCGCCTGCAAAATACAAACAGATTTTTTTAAATTAATTAAAATTAGATGATTTTAATTTTATCTCCAATTAAAATCTAATGATTTAGTTATTTTTTTTTAAATTTTTGGAAAATAAAATTTAAAAAAATGTTTCATAAAATAAGAACCAGACATAAACATATTTGTCTGTCCCATTATTATAAATATTAACTAAATCAATATTCAGAATAAAAATTCAATTATGAATAACAAAATTAAAAGTTATGAAGAAAATAATACAATTGAAAATTTGACACGCGAACATGTATAAATAAAAAATACAAACAATATGTACATGTATGTATATATATACACAGATATGTGCGTATGCGAGTGCGTGTGTGTGTGATGTGTTTGTATCTATGTATGATATATATATATATATATATATATATATATCACTTACACAAATTAAATATTACACAACATTTCCATACTTGAACATATGAATAGCTTAGCAATTCATTTACTACGATGAGTAAACTCCATTGAAAATCATCCCGTAACAAAAAATCATTGATGAGATATTCATTTGTCATCACGATCATACATCCTTTATATAAAAAAAAATAATAATTATTATTATTATTTATTTGTATTATTTTTTGTATTATTATTATTATTATTTATTGTTTGGATAATTATTGTTAAATAAATATGTAAAATTTTGTATTAAAAATGTTTGTCTCCCTTGTGCGAGCCATTCAATTGAAAACATGTGAATCTAGTACGCCAGTGTGTTTATTAGGCTTACATTCCTGTTTGTTTGTGTGTGTGCGTGCGTGTATGCGTATGTGTGTATGTATGCATGTATGTGTGTGTGTGCGTGTGAATATTTTTTATTTAAATTAAATTCACTGTCCCTTATTTGAATAAGTTATTGAAGCAGTTAAATTTAAAAAAACATTCTCTTAACATAGACGTCCGCTAAATCAGAAGAGCTGAAGAAGAAATATAGTAATAAAATTATATTATTTATTAAATACTAATTATAATTTAAGTACTGGAGCCATGCCAATTATAAACAATTAATGATGCAAACATTTTTCAATGTTTGCATCATCACTAACCCTAACCCTTAACACCTCGTTACGTAGTTGTTGCGTTAGCTGTTACTTTGGAAAAAATTTAATCAAACGTTAATGACATGCAAACACACACACACACACACACACACACACACACACACACACACACACACACACACACACACACACACACACACACGCACACAAACACACACACACACATACACACATACACACACACACACACACACATATATATATATATGATATATATATGTATATTTATATGTATGTGTATATATATATATATATGTATGTATATATATATATATATATATATATATATATATATATACAATACAACATCATAAATACACATACCATGTTTATAAACTTATATCATTATTAAACTAATTGATTCATTTTGGTTTTTAACATCCATTGTTCGATATTTCAATAGTTTTTTCAATAGTTCGTTTGCTAGCCCACATTACGTGCTTATTTTTTCTATTCCTTCATTTATCTATCCTATATTATCTATCCCATCCTTTGCTTGTTTGTCCATTCATCCATGCGCTCACTCATTTATTTAATTCATTCGTTCGTTAATTCATTCACTCAGTCACTACACAAACTTATTGCAATACGACCTCTTCGTAACTGCATTAATTAACTAAATTCCACTGATATTTACAACAAATTCCTTTTTCTACTCCATCATCATTATCGTCGTCATGATCATCATTTTCCTCGCTTACTCATCGTCATCACCCCCACCATCATCATTTCGTGATCATCACTGTCCTTATCGCAACTATCTTTATCACCAGCGCTTTCATCATCGGAATAATATGAAAAATTTAACTTTCAAGAATTGTTAGCTCTAAGTTAGTTGGGCATTTCGGAGTCTAACACCACGTTTGGTTGGCATTCTTTCATTTCATTTTCCAGTTCGATGTCAATCAAAATCTTAAATTGGCCATTTTAATAAGTACGGCAAATTTTGCAAGCCAGTGATTCTGTACGTAGTTTAACTCAATTTTGTTGTTGTGCAAGGGACCAAAATACTTTTCGGTCTACACTTTTACTAATTTACACAAATTTTGTTCAATTGAGCTTTAACTCTAACCTTAACAAGTTTTTCAAGTTTCTTTAGAAGTATGTCTCTATTTAATTTGTAGGCAAAATATTTTTTGTTACAGTTTAGTTGAATGAAATCTTCACCAATAAACAAGATATGAAATTGTCGTTTTGGTAATTTGTAATAAATAATACAACAACATTACACAAATTATGCACAAACTTTACAATCTGAAACATTTCCAACATTTTAAAAAATGGCCATTAACCTATTAGATGCAGGTTAAATAATTAGAATTATAGCAGTTAATTCAAATTGTAAGATCATTTGTTTGAAGAGATGGATATCGAAGTGTGGATGGGTGTCACCGGTGAGACTGTAACAAACAGAACTGCATGTCAATGTAAGCAAGAGGTTGGAGAAGTGTCCAGGTTTAAGTTTATATTTTCCAGTTTGGTTTTAATTATTTTAGTGGGAAGTTTTATTTTTAAAGAAATTGGCGCTATATAGAGAATAATATTACAAAATGTTCGGCAGAACAATGTTTATATCTGAACAGATGTTTCAAAATAATAAAATATTATATATCAAATCATTTCTTCACAAAAATGAAATCCTCAACATATAAACTCAACTCCGGCTTATCAATCTTCAATATCTTGCTCATATTATAATTATTCTTGCCCATGACTTCGTAGTATTCCTCAGTCTTGCCGTGCCTGTACTCAACAGCCAGCGTCTTGATGTCAAACTCATCAAACTTGATCGTTTTCAATATCGGCACCTCCCCCCCTTCCACGTCCAAACTGAAAAAATCCACAGTTTTCCTGTCAATAGCCAGGAGTAGGGATTCAAATGGGAAGCATGGGACCTCGGTGACAAATTTGGAGGATTTGTCTGCCTGCAGTTTACCAAGTTGGCCATTGCTCTCTTGTAGGTAAAGCTAGAAAATAAATAAAAAACATTTATTTAAAAAAAACGTGAAAATTAAATCTTTTAAAGACATTTAAGTGCAAACATTGATTCACATCAACTGTTCATTAGCCTTTTGTTATCCAAAACAATCGTATATTGTTCTAAGACTCCTGGCCTCACCCGAACGAAATTAAAAATATTATAATTATGGATGATTGCATCTATTTTACTTTAAATGAAGAATTGTATATTGATATGAACAATTAACATATTATAATGAATATGCGCTTATGAATATGAATATGTTGCTCTTAAACATTGTAACAGTTTCAGTTTTTTGGCTAAAGAAAATATAATTATCAGGTTGTTAACATTTTGGAAATAATATATAAAAATAGAATCATTTCTCTGATAAATTAACATCACACCTACTTTGTAAAATTACTTTTAAAAAAGTGTCTATTTAGAACTCACTGCATTGTTCAAAAAAATTCCACCATTTCAAATCTAAATTTTCTAAAATTATATTTTAGAACGATTTCACAAATTTTAGCAAAATATTACTTTAAATTTTTCACATTAAAACGTTTTAATAAAACGTTTTGATAAAATGTTAGTAAATTATATCATAATATATCATAAATTATATCATAATAATTTATATTATAATTACTTTTGAAGCGTAATTGAATGGACTCAGGCAAGCATTAATCGACCAGACATTCCTGTTTTTTCCGACGAGTTGGGTGTAGAAGTAGGGGTCGGGCTCCACCAGCAAGCCACTCCAGCCCCTCTCAACCTCCAGGAACAACGTATTTGATGCCGTCTCCCCGTCGTATGCACCTGCTTCTACAAAAAATCCACCTTTCTAAAGAAAATAAAATGTTTTGTTATAAAATCAAGCCATTATGTGAGAGTGATGTTTGAATTAAAAAATTATTTTTGAAATAAAAAATTTATTACTCAAATTTAAAATCAATATATTGAGTTGTTTAACATAAAAAAGAGAATAATATATGAATAAATCAAATTTTTAAAATAAATTTAAGTTTTTAAAAATTTACGCAAAATTAAAATTGTATGTCAACATTTCATATATTGAAAAATTTAGAAAAACAAATTTTAAAAATTACTTTTTTCAAAATGTTATCAATTTCTTCAGCTTGTGGCGTCTTAATCATGGACCTGTACTTCAAAACTTTGTTGCCACTCGGTGGTCTCATAACATCCTTTAGGAACTTTATCAACTCTGGATCTCTGGAATGCACTTTATTCCTCGCAAATTCGTCGAATTTATTTCTAACATCTTGCGGAAAACTCGAAAATCCCAAATTCTGAGAAACGAACGATGTTCTCGTTTTTGTTCGTTCGTCGATGTTCGTCGGACGTTCACCGATGCTCGTCGGACGTTCGCCGATGTTCGTCGAATGTTCGCCCGTGAAATAGTGCGAATATAGGTAAACAACTAAAATAATTAAAACCGGTAAGAAGCATAATTTTAATAACGGTCCCTTATAGCTTAAGGACATGATAAATAGCGAATATAACAATTATACTGATCAGTCAAAAGTTTCACCTAAATAATTTCGTAAAAAATTATAATTAAAAAAACGCCTAGCTTTCATGATAACATGTATGTGTGTGTGTGTGTGTGTGTGTGTGTGTGTGTGTGTGTATGTACGGATATTATACATTTATATATACATATACACAAACAGACATAAATAATTATATATATATATTTATATTCATATATATATGTATGTATATATATATATATTCATATATATATTCATATATATATATATGATATAATTTATATATATATATATATATATATATATATATATGATATAATTAATATATGATCAATAAAGACAGATATAAATTTAATATAAGTAAATATCATTATTGATTATGTATATAACATCTGCCTCAACATCTAAAAATAGGTGGTCTGCTCTATCTAAACTTCTTCATAAGAAATCCTCTCACTCATCTGTTTCTGCTCAACTGCTTCATGATAAGTCTCAATCTAAATTATTTCCTAAGTATTTATCGGAGATATTAATTGAACCTAAACGCCTCGGTTTACGATCGTCTTTTTGTTCTCGCTTTTTCTTAACTCGTGTTAAACACTCTTTTGCCAAATCTGCTTTTGCTTTTTCTGGTCCTTTCTCTGGAACTCTCTGCCTACTCTGACTACTTCTCCATCAATTGCGAAGTTCAGAGCGGATCTCAAGACCCATCTGTTTTCAAAATTCATTGAGGAGCGCTGTTGATAAGCTAATTGATTGATTGATTGATTGATTGATATATGTACGAGGGACAAAACAGTTGTATAATGGAGTGTGCCGAGTTGTTCTTTTGCAATATTCATAAGATTTAATTAAATATGAATTAAACATAACAAATTTCTTCTTAACTATAACATTAAACATGAAGAATAATAATCTGAGAACCTACAGTTTAGGAATAGGCAACAAATTAGACAATGATAAATAATCTTAAATATGATCATATATTTTCATGTCATACTAAATACGAACAAAGACGTATAAATATATATCTAAGATAATAATATGAGACTTAATGTAACGACCACAAACTACAATACCTTAAGTGAAATAAGGATAAATAAAAGAATAGTATAAATTAAGTAATACACATTTCGGTAAGAGATATTTTAGTCTATAGATTATTCCTAGATTTTTAGATTGTTTGATATGCTAATAGTGTGCTCTTTCCAACTTAAAATATATATATATATATATATATATATATATATATATATTTATATATATATATATATTAGTACGAGGTTCTCAGCGATACAAACTTCATTAAATATTTTTGCCCATTTAATCAACGCAAAATGGGCAAAAATATTTAATGAAGTTTGTATATATATATATGTGTGTGTGTGAGTGTGTGTGTGTGTGTATGTGTGTGTGTGTGTGAGTGTGTGTGTGTGTGTGTGTGTGTGTGTGTGTTCTGGTAAAAGACCATAGTTAATGCGGTACTTTATAAAAATCTTCCAAATTTAATATACAATCTAGCGACTGCAGATTTGACAAATATGAATACCAAATTATTGTCTCAAACACAATTTCTTGACTCAAAAACTGAAGTCTCGGGAAGATGCAATTGGCCTTCAGAATAGCAGTTTAAATCAATTCAAGAATAAAGTAGATAACTTTTCTCTCACATCCATGAACGTGCTAGAGGGAAAATGGAATAATTTTCAAGGCAAAGGTTGAGCAAAGTGAAGAAGATATAAAACCACATTCAGAGGTTGTTGAAGGTAAACTTGATATATTGTCATCAGATATCAAACAGGTGCAAAAATCAATCGTTGAAACCTCATCTAAAAAAGAATCTCATAATGACAGAGAAAAGAGGAGAAACAATGCAGTATTATATAATTTGATTGCAAGGGAAAGAGATCGCGGTCAACAACGAATGACATTCGTGAAGTCCTTGTGTCACTTGTTGAATATCACCACAATCCAACTACTATGAAGTAGAGCCCCAGGCAGATTAAATTTTTCCAAACAGCAACCAGATTCGGCTCAACGTGTTACTTGGCTCGTCTATATAACCGCATTGTGAAATGTTGATAAGTGAACTTTCTGGCACGCCTGCACAATTTTACAGTATAAAAGGAGGTGATTTCAAAGCGAGACAAATTAAAATGAGGTGATTTCAAAGCGAGACAAATTGTTTGTTCAGCGAGAGACATCCAACTGATCACTGGATGTGACCTGTTTCTCGAGAGTGTCAGGAAGTTAAAGGGCCGAAACACTCGTTGACGGAAACTCTTCCTCTGAAGACTCTCGCTGAACGCTCGTTATGTTCAAGTTTCTATATATTATATATATATATATATATATATATATGTACAGTTCATATTATATATTGTTATATAACCGACCCCTTGAACTTGTAGGGTATGGTTATTTTCTCTCTACGTGGATTCTTGACTCCTGAACAGACTTATTTTATATGAACTTTATCAGAAAGAAAACAGTGCTGGCAATCAACAATAGTCAAGAGTTCGTTTTATCCGTAGGTTCAAGATTTCCGATAGATGAACACAACTACTTTAAACTCAAATTAAGTTGAACGTTTATTTAATACCAGCAGTAATAGAGCCAATAAATTAAACTTAATAACTACGTAAATCGCATTTTACGTCAACTGTTGTTCCGCCTTCTTCTTACCTGTTCTCCTCCTCTTCTGTGTCGGTCCTCGTTCGTCTCTCTGTTCCTCTTAGCGTCTTTTTTATAGCTACCGATCCGCTAGTAAGTGTGTCACATGCCGTGTCACGTGACTTTTTTTACAACCGTTTTAATTATGTACGCTTTCTGATTATGATAATTTGCAAGCGCTTCACGCAATTTCTTACTACTAGTTCTTATCTCGCCTTTACGTCTGTAGCAATATGTGTCAATATGTTGATTTGTATAAACGTATGTGTGCATGGTTATGATAACACTTATGTTAAGTTTCTAAGATAGATACACTTCACAAATACGTTTTTGTATAACACACATATGCACACACATTTACATATACATGTATGTATGTGTGTGTGTGTGTGTACGTGTATACACTGAACTAAATTTATTTATTCAAATCTGCTGAAGTAATTAGTAAAAGCTGCTTGCTTGGCTTCATCAACGTGGACCACAGAGAGATTCAGCTATGGTCTTTAAACACACATACATACTCACACACGTACATAAATGCAAACAAACGAAAAAAAATATTTTTAATATTTTACCATTAAAAATTTAATTTTGCGGCCGGTTTTTGAATAACGCAAACCGCTCAGACAAAATCCGCAAATCGCAAAATCTGCGGAGTTTTGAGAATTTTCAAACCGCATTGCTGTTATCCGCTTGGGACTCTACTACAAAGTGTTAATGATCGGGTTTTGTGGAGGTCGATGGTCGTTATGTCCTCAAAGGATGAGGCACGAGAATGAAAGAAGATTATATAATTGGAGTTAAAAAGGGGTCAACTCCAGAGATGCGGTTAAAAATTTAGTAAAGATTATATCTGATTTGGATTTAGATACAGAAAGTACTGGAGTTTCAAGACTAGATAAGAAAACCTAGACCAGTTCTAAATTAATTGCACAAATTTTTTTCATTAAATTTTATATCGCTCAACATATACCATCCCATCTCTGATCATTTTTATTATCCTCGATCAAATCTTATATCATTATACCTAAATCAACAACTTTTTCCAACCAAAATTTTTTCACGTTATTGTTGCATTAGTTAGATATCACAAATTTAACGAACAACATTTGAAATAAACTGATTATTTTTTAAATTCAGCAGATTTGGAAATGGTACCTCCTTCGTAACCTTTACATACATATAACTGATAGAAGGAAATTAGGAGCAAAGAGAAAATATTGAAAAAGAGCAAGTGATAAAAAGTTAGAGATACAATAGAGTGAAAAAAAGAGTGAAAAAGCAAAAAATACACTAAACCTACGTTCACGCATAAAAATAAACAAATACCTATGCGCCCAAATACGCTACACTGTCTCAGTGATATTGCGAGATAATGTTTAACTCAACGATCGATAGATTGATCTCTCCAGTTATAAGCTTTTACGCACGTGAGCACTTCTCATGGTGGGTTTTTTTCATACAAAATATAATTTAATGTGTGTGTGTATGTTAGTGTGTGTGTGCTTGTTTGAGTTGTGTGTATGTGTGACAGAGGAGAGAGAGAGAGAGAAAGAGAGAGGTGTGGTTTGCATGGATACGTTGTGTTGTGTAAACGTAGCATCTTAACGACCCATGACAACGTGTTTCTAGCAAGCACATGTTATTGACTGATTTTTCTATTTCAGGTATGTGCGTGTCATTCTCCTTTGGAATGGCAGAATAATTAAAAGTTTATAGAATGTTTTGGTGGAAGGAGTTGCAAGAATTTTGGCAACACTGCTCCGCGGTTTTGTGCTGATGATCTTTTAAAGATTTATTTCTTTGTATGTCTTTTATGCTTTTGTTATAAATTTTAGTATTAATAAATACGGTTTCATCTAGCTTTTCACATATTTCTGATTTTTTATGGGAGAAACTTTTTTTTATATAAATTTTAATCCCTGCTTAATCCGTTATTCGTACATTTTTAAATGATGCGAAAACAAAAATGCCAACTTCATGAGAAGATCATTAAAAATGATACAAATATATAAATGATTGAATTTTTTGTGGTGAAAATGATGTTAGCAAATTTTCAGAAATATACTTAAAACGCTTCGTTACGAAATTTCATATTGCGAATTTCACTGAACGACAGTAAACTGAAACTGAGTGAATAACTGAGTTATTCCTTGTCACTCTATAGACTCCGGTTTGCTTTCATCTTTCATTAGTTTAATACTTACAATTAGTAACATAATAATTTAAAAAATGTCGTTGACAAAATTAATTAATGTACAGCAAATTTTTAGGCAAATGCCAAATTTCCATACGTGTATACCTAATCGGATAATTTATTCGAGGACTGAGTATAAGCAAACAAGTGAGTTGGTTTATGAATTAATAAAAATGTTTATTAAACACAACTTAATCAAAGTAGCTATATTGTGAAAATAAAATCATAATATTTATCATAAAATTTAATTTTAATAAACATAAAATAATAGACATAATGAGTAAATAAAATTAATTAATAAACTAATAAATCAATATACCAATAAATTAATTAATTATATAAAAAAGTATCTAAATAACAAAATAAGTAGATAAATTGGTAAATAAATACATGGAAAAATAAATAAATAAAAAATTTATCAACGATGTCGAAAATCGTGGAAGCTGCAACCCTTTTGTGCCAACCTGTACTACCAGAGAATGCCCTAGAGCGTATGATATATTTTAATTTTTTATCTGTGCTGAACGTGTTTGCATAATCGAAAATATGAAATCCGTATTTGCCTATCGTTGTTTGTCTTAGATCTACCTGTCTGCAAGTATGAAGTTGCATGAATCTGTGTTCGTTATTTCGCTGACGTTATTCTATCGGTTGCTATTGTTGTTATTTTTGCTGCTGTGCTGTTAGAATTATGGTTGATATTATGTTGGGACTAAAATATTTAGTAAAGGTGAGGCTGAAATTTTTGCTGTTGACGTTAATGCTGATGTTGTTGTTGTGGTTGTTGTTGTTGTGATTGTTGTTGTGATTGTTGTTGTTATTATTATTATTATTATTATTATTATTATTATTATTATTATTATTATTATTATCTGAGCTACTATATTAGACGATGATGAGTTGATGAGTGGAATGGTGTTGATGATGATGACAATAAATTTATATATATTTTTTTTTATCTTTTTGAAACTTATTCTTCAAAAAACCTGGGAGATGATGATATATAGTAAAGTATTTACTAGTAAAGTTTTATTTGCTAACCACCTGAATTAACATGGTAAATAACGAAATATCTAAAAAAAATCACCAAATAATTGTTAAAATATAATTATCATTCAAGAGATTCATATCAGGAGAAAGTTTCGAAGCAAATTCGAAACAACAATTGCCATTATACACAAAGTATATTACATATGTTATATAATTACATGACGGACATAAATTTCTACTGAAATGTGTGCAGTCAATTTATTTAAACGTGAATTAGTGATCACATTTTATTGTCAAGAGTTTTTTAAAATTAATATGAATAGGATGGATATTCGATACTTTGTCCGGTTCTACCTGAAGTTCTCTCATACTGTCTAGATTTTGCTATATATTGTATATGATACTATATCTGTCAAGTGGTTATACCTATTGCACTTCATAACAAATTAAAAACTATCAAATTGAAATTTAAAAAAATACATGAAACATATTCGATGTTATCATCGTCAGAAGACAACGAAGACTAATCGCCTGCCTAAAGGTTGATCCTATTCATTGCTCTTACTATGGTATAGTATTACAGCTAATTTTAAACAAGTCAAATTTACGTTAAATCAGAAATTCATCGGTAGGTACACTCACCCTACACTCACCATCCACATTATTGAACAAATTTTTAGGACCACTGGAAGTAAATCCGGTGAGCCTTCTTTCCAGGGTGGATTGGATAGGGAGGTTTTTGTGTGTCTACCAGTAACTTTAGTTACTTGGAGTTTACCGTCACGTTACCAATTTATGAGTTTGTGGTCAAATTTGATTCTTGCATAATTTTTTTTATCAGAGCCGTTTGAAATTTGTATAGACAAAGACAGGTGAGTTATTACAAGTACATACAACGTTATTAATTCTACTCTACCACTCACCTTCGTCAGCACAACCCAACATTGTTTGCTCTACATTTACAGCTCTATCAAACACGCAGTCCTGCGTGTTAGTATCTTTTACAAAACTAATATCATCAAAATTATTCGAATTGATCAGACCATAACACATACATTCACTGACGACAAAAATGTATAAAACGCTCAATTTTTTTATATTTGTTTTCGTTTGCTTCGTCAGTCAATAGTTGCTAAGATCATGTTTGCCTTGCGTTCTTTTTGCGTCAGTCGTATGAAATGGAGCGCAAGCAAGCTAGTAATAGGCACCAGCAACACATCAAAACCACACAATGAGTTATTCAGTTGTACATTAAAGTTGCATGCCATCTGCCGGTGGTCTGCTTACATGAGTTTTTATTTTACGCCTTGATTTTTTCTTTTTTTTCCAAAATAATTGCCAAAAAACTAAATAATTTTATGAACATTTTTTACAACTTTGTTCAAACTTTAAAAAAAAATTGTGCATTAAGTCATCATCAAGTCTTAACGATAAACACGTCTAATCAGAATGCTTGAAATAGCTTATAATACTGCACAAAATTTTAATGTTAATTAAAAATTTCACGTAGAAATCATATACGTCAATAGTTAGTGCAAATTAGGATTCAAAAAATATTTACCTAGTTTGTTTGCACTGAATACCTGAACCTAAATTTCATGTTTGATTAAATCATTTTTATTCATGCATGTCGAAACGCTTACATTTAGATGCATAATCATCATGTGTGTGTGTGTGTGTGTGTGTGTGTGTGTGTGTGTGTGTGTGTCTGTCTGTCTGTCTGTGTGTGTGTCTGTATATATATATGGTCTACCAGCTTACATTTAAATTTTTAGTAAAATTTTTTTCTAAATATTATAAATTAGTACTGATTCTATCAACACTTTAAGAATTGTCATTTGAAATTTGAAACCCTGTTTGAAAAAAATCTCTACAAACAAAAAACAGCATCTTTTGTAGCTAGAAAGTGTTTTTATAGTACCAATAATAATTAGAAATCAGTAAGTAAACTACTAACAACAGAATTAAGTGCTAAAGTAGAGTGCTAAAATTTAATCACCGTCAAGTAGGCTACTAAAAATCATTTAAAATAAGTTACGATTATTTGAAAAACAAATTAATATCACTAATTATTATTTTACAAGTCAATGGAAAATAATTCAGGAATTGAAGAGCGTATGCATTTGAGACATGGTTAAATTAATTACACTCGCCTTCGTCTTAGTCACCATTTTCAAGATCAAATTTATCATTACCAACATCATCATTTTTATCATCATCACCATTTTCAAACTTAATTACATACAATTTTTATCAGAAAAATCTTAATCACCACAATCATCACTATCACCATCATCTCTAATGATATCAACAATATCACTATCATTACCTAACCGTTTTACGTCATCGTCACAATGTCACCATCGCCAACATCGTCGTCATCATCATTTGCATAATCATCATCATCATTTGCATAATCATCATCATCATTTGCATAATCATCATCATCATTTGCATAATCATCATCATCATTTACATAATCATCATCATCATGATTTACGTCACCATCATCGTCATCGTCGTCGTCGTTATCATTTTTGCTTAGTTTCGTCTTGTCAACGGTGAATTGGATTGCATTGGCTGCCGGCCTCATTCTCAAATAGTACGATCCTGTCTTCAATCCCTGAAGGTAGGTGGAAAGTATTAGGATAACTTTTTGTTAAAATGGATGTATGGAAAGCCTACGAGAATTAATTTCCATACAAATGCATAAAAATAAACAAAAAATCGTGAAATTTACTAAAATAATTTCTAAATCAAGAATTCAATTCAACTCAGAAGCCAACATCACTCTCTTCTTCATCATCATCATCACCAACGTCACAACTGCTGCAATCATCATCATCATCGGCCTCATCATAACCATCATCATGACCATCATCATGACTATCATCATTATCATCACCGACACTGACTTTCTTCCATGCGTAGAAATGCATGCTGCATAGTTTCTCGTATGTAGGCTCCTGGAGGAAGAGGTTCATGGACTGACTCTGATCAACGTATGGACTTCTGTCAGCCGCCATGTCGATGACGTCACGCTGGGATATTTCCCAAACTGTTCGATAGATGGCTTTCAAGTTTTGAGGAATTTTCTTAATTTTCTGTCATTTTTTGTAGTTATTGGGTAGACGGATGGATGGGATTTTGATTAAACATTGTGATCTATTTTTATTTATTTGAAGTGTATGAAATTAAAGTGAAATTTGATGAATGGCTTGAGTAACATCAGTAACCATCATCAATGTAATTTCTTTCAACTCATCAACATGATCATCGGCATCGTTCATCATTTCGTTTTCACAATCTCATCATCATTATATTATCATCATTATAATTGAAATCGGGAAAATTATTATTATTAATATCATTATTTTTATTTTATTATTAATATTATTTTTTATCATTATTATTATCATCATCATTATTAATATCATTATTATTATTATTATTATTATTATTATTATTATTATTATTATTATTATTATTATCACTCCCTACCTGTACAGACCCATTGTTAGCCATCAGGAGCATCCTCATCCTCTCATCCCACACTCCCAACCGGATCAGATCCTTAACCAGGTGTGCGTTTATCACCTGCAGGCGTCATCGCAACATCACGCGACGAGTTAATCAATTTTTTAATTAACTTATTCGTTTTATGATTAATTAGTCAATTAATTAATTAATTAATGGTTGGTGTTGGATAAACGAGTTGATAATGAAAAATATGCTCAGTGCTTTTAACAAACGATTAACAGTTAGATCAAATAAGTTATTAGAATCAAACAACCATTCATGAAAAAAAGAAATCCTACTTAGCGTAGAAAAACTTTTCCTTTAAGTTACCCACTCTTACAAAGAGTTCTTTCTAAAAAATACTTATCTCAAATAAATACACCTCTGCGAGATAGGTACACGTACCTTTAAATAAGTAACCATTGCTTCAAATACACATTTAACTACAAATACACATAAATAAGCACGCATTCCTAATAAACACACATCTCTAATGGGTACACAACTTCCGTAAGTACTAATTCTAAAAATATCTACCTGGTATTCTCCTGAATACACCCTCCGTGCAAACAAGTTGTTGGTGTAAGGTTCGAAGCATTCACAATTTCCGAGAATTTGGGAAGTGGAACTTGTGGGCATCAGACCGATCAGCTGACTGTTTCGAAGGCCGTGTCTGGTGAGGGCGATTATGATGGTGACAATTATTATTATCATTGTAATGACAGTAATGAGGATGACGATGGTACTAACTTTATGATGTCAAGTTTGAGAGCTGACCAATTATGGCGATCTTCTGATTGCTGGAGACCCCACATGTCCATCTGAAGTATCTGGTCAGTCAATCGACCATCAAATATAAATTATAAAATATCAATTAAATAAAATTTCAACTTTATATAAATAAGAAAATGTGCAAATAAAATGATTTTGTAGTTTCAAACTCAATCGGTTAATGAAGCTGCACTAACCCCTCTGCTAGCTGGTGATCCATGGAAGGAGGGGTGGGGTCCAAATTTCTTCGCCAGCTCACAACTCGTTTGCAGGGCGTAAAAATAAATGCTTTCAAAAATTTCTTTGTTTAGTTTTTTCGATTCTTTGCTGCCAAACGGCATTTTCATCATCTGGAAGACATCGGCCAGCCCCTGAACCCCCAACGCCAACGCACGGTGCCTCCTCGCGCCCAGCTGGGCCTGCCATTGAAAAATTATTTAAGCTGTTTAAATTGTTTCAAATGCAAAAAAACAAACACCATCTAAGAAGCTTTAATGTCGAAAGTAAAAATTATCTTCTACCGTATTATTTCAAAATATAACCAAAATATAAGCGTATTCACTTCTTTGAGCGGGTAATGGTTGACGTCAATAATTTTGTCGAGGTTCTTTAACAATATTCCAACAACTTTTCCTAATTCAGTAAAGTTGAATGACGTGCCATCTGGCGACACAAATTTGTTAAGAGCGACAGAAGCGACGTTACATGTGGCCACCTAACGTATTTCATTTGTTCAAGTACGTACTTGACTATTTGAGTACATTCAGGTGATTAATTATGTATTCATTAATATAAAGTGAATGATGTAACTACGAGATGTGTCTAATCTTAATAATTGTGTAAATGCAAGCTTCATTCAACAGCAATAACAAAATGAATGAAAGAAAGGAACCTCCTCAGGTGCGCAGTATTGAATGATCTCGGCGCATGGATTGCTAGTGACGATGGTTCCGAGATGCTGCTGGTTGCTTTTCCGGTTGCAGGCGTCCTTGTACATCATGTACGGCATGCCAGTCTCAACCTGCGCCGTACATATCTCCTCCCACAACTTGCGTGCTGCCATCCTTACACGTCCTACATTTGAACGCTCGTAACTTGAGGAATCATTGATTTCACGTATTTTTTATTTGAAAAAAATAAATCTAAAGACAAGCAATAAAGTTTTAAACCACAAAATTAAACAATATCTCACATGAAACGACTAATTTATATCATACAAAAAAACTTACTGTTCATAAAGTTCCCTAAACTGGTCCCCCCAAACTTTAGAGAGCCCTGGGCAAACATCGGGAGAGAAGAGGGTCCACTCCTCATTCCTCTCCACTCTCTCCATAAACAGGTCAGGTATCCAGAGGCCGTAGAAGAGGTCACGTGCTCGTTGTTCTTCTACCCCACTGTTTTTGTGAAGGTTCAAGAAGTTTATGATGTCACTGTGCCAGGGTTCCAAGTAAATAGAGAATGCGGCTGGTCGCTGTGTGTGCGTGTATGTATTCGTGCTTGTATTCGTGTATGTGAGTTTTTTTGAATCTGTGTTTGTGTGTGTTTTTGAATTCGATCCCGATTGAAAATAGTTCTAGTCTATACAAAATTCATTCGCTTATTTTCTATGTTATTAATCGATAGCCAGTTTTTAATTTCAATCGTTAATTTATTATAATTATTAATTATGTTTAGTTACCTTGTTCCCCCCTTGAGAAATGAACCTTGCCGTATCATTGAAGAGACGCAACATTGGCACCAGGCCATTTGATTTCCCGTGTATCTATAAGAAAGGGGTGATCGAGTTAATTTAAATTTCATAAAAAGTTTCATTTCTTTGAGTTTTTGCATCATTACCTATTTAAAGCCCGCTATCATCAATACCACAACCTACCCCATGTATGTAACTTCCGGCAGCTCTGACGTCGTGAACGGCCAGGCCGAGCCCTGAAGCCCCCCTCGAGATGAGGGCACATCTTTTGAGGGTGCTGAAAATTCCATGGACACTGTCTTCTATTACAGGCTGCAAGTAACAACTGGCGGTGGTGGTAATCATGATGATGACAGTGATTACGATGATGATGGTGATGATGTTGATCATGAGTAATGATGATAGCCATGATGATATTGATTGAATGATGGTGATGATGATGATTATGATGATGACTCACCTGCAAAGATTTGCACGCGGAGTGCCAGCATTGAAAAGCGTCGGACTGGCGTGAATGAAGTAACCATCTGACAGCATTCTGTATGACTGCGAAAATCGAGTACATATCATTCTTTTCATCACTATCGTTATCACCATTATCATCATCAGCATCACCAACCAAGGCTTACCTCAAAAGCCCCCTCCAAATCACCCCCATGTATGGCAAGTGCCACCCTCATGAACATCATCTGGGGCCTCTCCACCACCCTTTCATTCAATCTCAGTAAATACGATTTCTCCATCGTCTGGCAATGGTGACAATGACGACGACGACGATGATGATGATGATGACGATGACAGTGATGATGATGATGATGATGACGATTACAGTGATGACGATGATGACAATGATGATGAAGAATCAACATCACTAAACGGTTATCAATTTCTCAAACCAACTAAAGTGATAAACTAACCAATCATATATCCAATCAAAGATTTTTTCCATCTTATCAACCAATCAGATAATTTATTACATAACTATTAATTTGAATAACCAATCAAAGAACTTTTACCAATTAATTAATCAATCAATCAACCTATCATTCGATTGAACAAAAATCTAACTTTGAATCCGAAATATGTAAAATTGAAATCGTTGCTATGATCAATTTGAGAATCAATCCGATCAGAATTTGACAACACAATTTCGTAGAGAGATGTTGAGATGAGAGGGAGGTGAGAAGTAGTGAGAGAGGGAGGAAAATAGTGAGGATTGGTGTAGTTGTGGAGATCTTTTATGACTTCTGGATGGAGGGATGATGATGAAAATGATGATGGCGGTACGGACGGCGACGATGATGATGGTGGTAGTGATGATGATGATGATAACGATGATGTTGGCAATGTTAAGAAGGAGAATTAGAAGAATAAAAAACAATTATCATTTTGTCATTATTATTGTTATCATTATTATTATAGTTTTAAAGAGTAAAATGAAACTATCATGTTGTGCGTAACCGCCTCAACAAACCGCTAAATTTGTCTTTAGTTTTCTTATGCAAATTGCTGACGGCCAGTCTTCCAGCCAAAATGTTGTAGTCGGGATGTTTGGTGGTCATTGAAGCTGCAATCTCAGCCACTAGTTTATCAAGCTCTTCACTTTTCATTATTCGTGTCAGTCCATTCTGAACTTTATCTACTATATCCTTCTGTTGTCGTTTTTGTGGTTGGTCGTGGTTGTTGTTGACTGATGTATGTAAGTTTTGTTTTTTGAGATTTTGTGGTTTTGTTGCATTGGCTGTTTGTGTTCTGTGTTTATATTTCGGTAGCTATCTATTTTTTGTGTTTTTATTTGTATTTTTATCTGTTTAAATTTTTAATTTAATTTTTAAATTTAATTTTAAATGTTTAAATTTCCGTACGAACCAAATTAAGAAAGTCTCCATTCAACAGAAAACTTATGTTGACCAGTCTCTTCATCAGTTTTGCCGGGTCAAAGTTTTCAAGTCTGCCATCTTTCAAATGAAAAATAAATAACTTAACAACATCAAAGTGCAAATTAATTATTTATGCAAAAATATGTAAATTATGAATAATTGTGTCATTAATGGATGTAATTATGAATAATAAATATTGAACATTTGAAAAAATTTGAATAAAAAATAAATTTACCTCTTTTCACGATGACATTTTTATTCAGTTTTACAGATTCCACATCATTACTTTGTGACATCACATTTGGAGATTCGATGTTCTTGTGTTTCATTTTTGTTAGTTTTATTTATTCTATTTATTTATTTCTATCTCTATTTATTAATTTTTAATTTTTTAACAAAGACAAAAAAATTGGTAAGAACTTTAAAATGTAAAGCCACCCTATAAATACTCAAAGCCAAATAAACAAGACTGTGAAAATAAAAGTGGGGAAAACACGAACTCTCATTATCATCTATCACAATGATTGTATATTGGTTTATAAATGTTTGTATGTGTGTATGTATGTATGTATGTATATATATATATATATATATATATATGTAGAACATATATATGTATGTATATATATATATAAATGTGTATGTGTGTTAGTATGTGTGCGTGTGTGCGTGTATGTATGTGAGTGTGTGTGAGTGAATGTGTGAGTGTGTGTGTGTGAATGAATGTGTGAGTGTGTGTGTGTGTATATACACAACTATTTTTAATCCAAATTATATATATATATATATATATATATAAATATATATATATATATATATATATGCAGATTTCATTGAATATTTTTGCCCACTTAGCGTTGATTAACTTTTTAAAAATACACTCAACAATATGGAATTGTTGTAAATCGTATTTATTGAGAACTAGTGACATAATTTGGCTGGCTAACGTTGTTTCGGTGTAAACATCATATATATTGTCAGAATTATGAAATAATACTGACTAAAAATACTTCAAAGTTTTCAACGCAAAATTTATTCACTCGATAGGGGGCATGGTGCAAGTTAATTTACTCGATAGGTGACGATGATTTTTTTTGTTTTGCAATTTAGATGACGTCATAATATATTACAAATTATTTTAAAAATTAATTAGTAGTTTTTTTTGATTAATTGGACATACCTTGAAAATTTTTATGTTTAAAAACACCCGAAACAAAATCTAATTTTGCTTTGATAACGAAGAGTGTGGGAGATAGTACGACTGGGTTGACTAGTTAAGCAGCTTCGGTGCCTATTCTGGTCCAAAAGAGGCTTAATTCGTGATTCTATGCTCATTGGCGTAGTTTCAGAAACGTCTTAGGTTGGTACGAGACCTCTATGCTCGTTGGCATAGTTTCGCACGCGTACTAAAGTCACACAATTTGCTTCCAGTGTTTTTATGACACTTGTTGTTTTGTGTTGGTTGTGCGAAAGCCGACCAGACTCGACGGCCCAGTGAAAACAGGCAAGGGTTGTGCGGAAGCCGACCGACTGACTGATAGGCCCAGCGAAAACAGGCCTTGAATTCTGTGAAAACCAATCCGCCTCCTTCTTTTGTTTCTTGTGCTATTTGTGGACATAGGGTTATTTGCTGGATTCTATACTCATTGGTATAGTTTCACACGCAGCTTGCAATTTCCATAGGCTCCGATTTTTGTAAATTTTCCGCATTCATTTTATTTATTTCTTGGAGTTCTATCGGTTACACACGTCGAGATTGTACGATTAAACGGCAAGAAACATTTCCCAAGTTGCCCAACCAAACAAGAAGAAGTTCTAATTCCTGTATTCCAGTTTGTTCATTGACATTTTACATTATTATAGAGTTCATTCAGTTCAATTCCTTTTCATTTACTTCCGTCAATTAATAAAATTGTTATCGAATATTTTTTTTACGCGTTCGTGTATTACTCAGTAAAATCATATAATTCGAAAAAGCCCAGTGCCACACAGGACTGGTCGAACTCACGATAAAAATATACACAAAAATTGTTGTCGGACCATAAAATAAATTCCCTGAGAAAGATAGAGGAGGAGATTACTTCACACCACCAGTTGTTTTCATAAAATTTCCGACAATATGTATATAATATATATATTTATATACATATATATGTATATGTATATGTATATATATATTATATATATATATATATATATATATATATTCTAATCAGCTGATCCCTCCATGTCAATTTTGCTTTCGATCTGGTAGGTCGACCGAACTTGCCAACTTTGAATTTGTTAGAGCACATTATCAAGTATGAATGATAAGTTCTTTACGTTAGGTGTGTTTGTTGATCTTAGCAAGACGTTTGATCTAATTGACCAATCATTGCTCTTATGCAAACTAAACATGTTAGGCTTTCGAGGTGACCGTCTACCCTCTAACTTTTCTAATTTTTTATTGCGTAAACTTCTAAATTGTTTCAGCTCTACCAGATTATTTATTCCTGTTATTATTCATTCAGTCCTGTTATTTATTCATTCAGTCGATTGAAAATTTTAAATGATAGTATTTTTGTTCTAGCTCTTAAAATTTGGTTTAAAATACTGCCTCTATCTATCGCCGCGATTTCTAAACCAAGTCGATTTAAATATTGTCTGTTTTGTCTGTTAAACATGAGATAATTATTTAGAATAATGAACATTTTCGTTTATTTTATAAATTTGCCATTATTTAATTTCATTTGGATATAAATTTGTGTCAAATTTCCAGTAGTAGTATTTAATATTTTTTATCTCTAATATTTTTTAATTTATCTATTTCCATTTAAACGTATTATTTTCTGTTTAACGGTGGTCTACCATAAGATATTTTTATCTTTTTTGATCTCCGTATCATTTCTATTTCTTACTTTTGTTTGATTTAATTTGAAGAATAAATAAATAAATACATAATATATATATATAATATAATATAATAATATAATATAATAATAAATATATATATATGTATATTCTCTATGTTGAACATTCACTAACTTTACATTTTAATGCCCTTCATGTCATAAGTATCTGCTGAATTTTGACTGCCATGTTACTATACTAGGCGTAACTCTTCTAATTTGATTATTTTCGTTTGATATAACTTGGCGAAATAAATAAAAAAAAATTATATGTATTATATATATATATATATATATATATATATATACATGTGTATATATTTACACACACACACACATATATATATATATAAGATTTATATATATATATATATAATATATATTATATATAAGATTTATATATAATATATAACATTGGTCCGAAAATGAAACCAAAAATTGTGTAAAATTCCGCTGGTTGCAGTTTCGTATGTAACAGATAAACAACAACAATAGTAGAATTCGTAATAATATTGATAATGACAATAAAAATAATTATAAAACAACTGTTTTAAATAATAATAATATTATTATTATTAATTATTTATTTAATTAACAGTGGCTTAACGATTCATTCACCCTGGTAAATCTCAAATTTTGGACACTGGCCTGAAACATATTTTAAAAAATAATAAAAAAAGATAATAATATGAATAAATACAAAAATATTCTTTCTATAGTCATTTAACTGAAGTTTTGAAAAAACCGTTTTATTTGAATTCAATTTTATTTAAATATCATTAATAAAAAGGCATAACAGACGAATGGCTCAAATAAAAATGATCTTGTTTCGATAATTTTTCAAATTTCTGAAATTTTGTCCTAAAGTCTAAAGTCTTAAATCTTATTAACAACGGTGAAGATTTATATTTTGATCATTACTACTTAAATTACTACTACTACTATTACTACTACTACTGCTTCTAATACTGCTAATACTACTGCTGCTGCTGCTGCTGAAACTACTGCTGCTGCTGCTGCTACTACTACTGCTACTACTACTGCTACTACTATTGCTACTACTACTGCTACTACTACTACTACTACTACTACTACTACTACTACTACTACTACTAATGCCACTATTACTACTACTACAAATGCTGCCATAACTACTATTACTTATAATAATGATAATAATAACAATAATAATCATAATAATAATAATAATCATAATCATAAAAACATGGCCAACATAACAAATAATTCCTTACCAATAAATCTGCGGCTAAACTTTCTAGAAACAATGTTCAAATAAAAAATTGATTACTATGATCAGATGTTTGTAACATGGGGGATCGAATTATTTTCAATTCTCCAAATTCCGATATATGCTTGTATGTGTGTGTGCGTGTGTGTGCGCGCGTGTGTGTATGTATGTGTGTGCGCGCGTGTGTGTGTGTGTGCACGCCCGTGTGTATCTTAAGTGTCATTGCGACAAACATGACTAATAAAAGACTAATTATTTATTGTTCCTTCAACTTTACATAATTTATCGGCTTTGACAATTTAAATGGGTTCATTAAAACATCATCTTATATGTAACTGTAAAAATCTTGACTTACAAACAATTATTAATATAGTTATTTACTGCTCATTCAACCTAACCAGTTAACTTTTATCTATTCATTATCAATTTTGACAGTTTAAATGAAACGAATTTAACTATTAAATTAAAACATTTCTAATGTTAAACAACGTTGGAATATATGAATGTATAAACTTATCGCCTGGCTGCGTTGTTGTTGTTTTTTATTGTCTCACTGTCATCAACAACAAAGCAACATTAGCAGAAATAACAACACCATCATCCAAAATAACAACATCCAAAACAAACAACAACAACAACTTTTGTGTTATTTACTAAGCTAAAACGCAATTCTTCGTAATTTTATTTAACCTTAGTACCTTAATTCTTCTTAAGAGAAAAATTTTGATTTTAAGATTTAGTAAGTTCTTCAACTGAAAAACTTTCATTACTAAAACAACTGCTACCTCCACAACAACAGCTTCTACTGTCGTTACTACTGCTACTACTATTTTTATTATTACTGTCACTACTATTACTACTGCTGCTGCTACTGCTGCGGCTTCTGCCACTACTTATATCATTATTATCACTGTCATTTCAACGTTGTTGTCTTTGCTGTTACTATTTTAACTTTAATGTTACCAAGTATTTAGCTAGTAGTATTGTTACTAGTGCCTCTGCCTTTAAAAGTACTGTTTATTACTGTGTATTACTATCGCTACAATTACTACATATATTAGTATCGATATTACTGATGATGCTTAGTAAGTTATTAAAAAATTAGAACTAGCTACCTTAATTTTACTGGTAACATTATTTTTTATCAGCGAAATTTTCGTATCGTATCGTATCGAATCATGTCAAGTTTTTTTGTATCATACCGATGCCGAATTGCATCTAATCATATTGTATTGTATTTCGTTTCGATATGTGTGGTGTCGTGTCGAGACCACGTTCGTTATAGAAAAAAATCCTATAATGTCTGATATTTATATTCCCTTTCTTTCGTGTAAAATTTGTAAACGGGCATGCTATTCTTATTTTAATTTTTACAATTTTCGTAAAATTGTTTTTTATTCATTTTTTATTAAAAAAAATTAATTTAAATATATTATCTATAATCCGTAAAAGAACAATATAAACCTTGCAAGTATGAGAAAATTGAAATATGTTAGATTGAAACAGAATAAACCAAACTTCTTCACTTGGTGTTTAAATGATTTGCTCACAAAACAAGTTTCATCAACTCGCATACACACATATACACAAACATAAAAACAGAAACATACAAACACACACCTGCAAAAACACACATGCACATCTATACGTACACACCAATACAGGCACATACACATAGACAGACACAAACAACTAATAAACACATATTCAAAGACACACACACATACATACACAAAGACATACAAATCACATATACACTCAAACACACACGTACATACAAACAAGCATCTGCAAAAACAATACCACACATCATTGTACACGTGCACAGACATATTCCCAAACATATATATACATATGAACGTACACACACGCGTGCAAATGAACGCACAGAGAGATAAAAACAGGCAAGCAAACACACACAAACTAACAGCTCAAACTACCATAAATATTTCTTCGGTATCACGCTATCTATCATTTATGACTAAAATCGACAATATTTTATGAACTAACAACTACAACGCCTCTAAAAATATCAACAAAAATATAGCTGACAACGAAAATATTTCAAATAACAAAAATACCAACAATACCAATAACAATATCACCCACCAACAAATAAACTTTTAACAACCAAATATCAACAAAAACAAAAAACACAACAAAAACCGTAACAACTCTATCTGCCGAAATATCCCAAACTGTAAAACTTCAGCTACTATAATAACAACAATACCAACAATTCTAACAATACCAACAACAGCAAACAACACAAACACAGCGCGCGTAAATCATAACATCAGCGTTATAATAGTCTGCGAATAAAGTTAAAACAACAACATCGCTTCTCAAAATTCAAAATATAAACCGGCGAACAATCCTACTTGCATTTGAAGCCAGACTCGTCAACGCATGACTCCACGCATTTAACTATTTCACAATCGCGCCGCCCATATACAAATGTGAACAACACAAACAATGGGGACAACAACACAACAACAACATCAATATCATCAAAAATAAAAAAAAACAACAGCAAATACATATACAACACACCATACCCACCATCTACATTCTACAGGCAACTTCAAGTCACATTTCATTTTTCTAACTTTTAGGAACTTTATAAAAGAAATTTATAGTCATGTATTTGTGTATGTGTTATCTATTCTTACATTGTACACACACACACACAACACATAAACACACACACAAACACCCACATACATACATATATAAAGATAGATTTTCTAAAAAATCATCGTCACTGGTTTGTTTTATCTCAGGAAAAGAACACTCCATCAGTTTTGCTTTCATATACTCATAAATATTTTTTTCAAACATATTTTTTAATATTAAAATAAATTATTTCACTTTAGAAAATAAAACAGACGAACAATATTTCATCGTTTATTAAATCCAACAGTAGCAGAAAAATATTTTTTAATAAAAATTCTTAATTGGAATTGTCAGTCAAGTTAGTTTAGTTAGCTAAAACTAAACTTGAAAACTAGTTATCAATTAATGAATTATTTTTCAATTTGTTTCGGTACATCCCGGATGACGTCATCGTCGTTTATGTCATGGCAACACATCTACGTTGCTGTTCTCTGTTTTCTTGTTTACGGTCCCGAGGCATTCTAACTCAACTTTTTGCAAATAATTCTTTGGGGGTGATGTATGTGTGTGTTTGTCTCTGTGTATGTTTGTGTGTATGCGTGTCTGTTTGTCTCTGTGTGTGTGTACGTGAGTGTGCGTGCGTTTGTGTGCATGCGTGCGTATGTGAGTGAGTTGTTTGGTATAATTAATTATTAATAATTAATCTATCACTGAAATAAAAATGTTATGGATGATAGTGATATTAAATACTTTCAATGATAAAAAAAAGACGAACTTCGAGAACTTTTGCCATGTAAGCCATCTTCCAGCACGTTTGACTCATCACGTGACTGTCGGTCGACCTGTCAATCATCAGCCTGGGGGCGGTCTTTATTATGACGTCATCTGCCTCGTTCGCCTCTCCGCGTTTACCTGTTGAGTTTCAATGAGAAACAGGATGTTGACGATGACGACGATGATAATGGTAGTGACGTAGTTGTTAAGGATGATGATGATGTTGTTGTTGTTGATGATGATGATGATGATGAACAACGCTTATGATATCAGTGGAAGACGGAAATGATAGTGTTAATGATAGTGATAATGATAGCTATAACAACAATGATGACAACTACAATGATGACGACGATGACAATGTTGATGATGTTAATGATGATGATAATGATGATGAGCACAAACCAGGTTGCCAGCTTCTACTGAAGTGAATGCTCTGACCGCGAGTCACGTGATGCTGATGGCCGATGATGAGGAGGAGGAAGATGAATATGAAGAGATGAAAGGTGAAAAAGGTGGTCATTGTTGATTGGGTCATGGTGATGATCTTGTTGTTGATGATGATGATTATTATGGTGTAATTGATGGCGTAATTGATGATGATCTTATCGACGCTGATGATGAGAAAGAGAGCGAAAGATAAAATAAAAAAGGTGTAAAATTGTGGAGGAAGATGTTGTAGAAATTTTTCTCGATGCTTCTGGGCTTTTAAGAGTTTCTTCGCATCTGGAAACAAAAAGGAAAACCATTTAGAAATGTCGATTCTAATAAACTTAAATAATTACTGCCACTTCCTCTTTCATTTCATTCTCACTTCATTTTCATTCATGTCGTAGTTTAGGCACGCAGACTTGCTTCAACCGTATGCATTCTGCCAAAAACTTAGAAACTGTTAAATGCCTTGCCCAACGGTTCTTTTGCGTTCGCACAAGTGTGTACGAAAGTGCGGTCTTTGTTGGACAAACCTTTGTGACTAAGTAAACAAAAATTTATAATCATCTTGACGTTTGTCAGGACTGCCTGATGTACTACAACACTGTATATATATTTACATATTGAGAATAAATTAAGAACGAAATTATTTCGCACAAATACATGCTAGCACAAACAAAACACACACGCATACAATCAAAAGACACACACACAAACAAACACGCGCACAAACAAAACACACACTCACACAAACGAAACACACACGCGCGCACAAACAAAACACACACGCACACAAACGAAACACACACACGCACGCAAATAAACAAAACGCAGGCAGAAGTTTGCACCACACGTCACTTGTTGAATCTTTCAACCTTATCGACAACTTATTTATTCGAAAACTTTTTTTATCTCTTTAAATTCTAATTTTATTTTTTTATTTTTTTTTCTCTTATTTATTTATATAATTTGTTCTATTAATAGCAACATTGTTTCAGATCAAGTTTCTAGCCCTTAAAACTTAAATGCCCATTAAGGGTGCTTGTGATAAAAACGATGAAAATAATAGAACATTTATTTTAATGTTAAAGATACAAATAATAATTTCTAAATGAAATTGATAAAAATGGTATAAATTCAATTGAAATAAATGAAATAAAATATTGAAGTAATTTTTTCATCTAACGAAAAAAAGATGAGAATGTCTATTAGCATTTAGATGCCGTAAAGAACAAGCGACACCTCCGTCAATTAAATGCCTACACGCAGTTCTCTTTATGAGAAATATTCATGTATTTTTGTTTCTCTGTATTTATTTTTATGTTTTTTGTATGTATTTGCAAATTTCTTTCTATGTTTGTGTTTTATTTGGTTGTATATTTTTCTGTATGTTTCTCTATATATATTTGTATGTTTTTTTCTGTTTCTTGGTATTTTTTTGTTTCTATGATTCTTTGTTTGTTTGTTTGTATATATTTGTATATTTTTTGTATGTTTTCTTGTATATATTTGTATGTTTCTTGGTCCATTTCTTTGCATACGTATGTTTATTTGTTTTATTGCATATGCTTGCGTTTCTCCGTATCGATGTTTGTATCTGTATAAAAGTATTTGCTCGTTTGCTTGTAAGATTGTGTTTGCTTTTGGATGCGTGGATGTGTATGTACGTATGCGTGTTGATTGATATGCTTATCGAAGTCTCTTTGCATGTTTCAAGTTCAAGTTCGGCAACCTATGTGATTAAACTTTTAGTTGATAAACCATTTACCGACGATGTATTCTTTTATATTTAAAAAAAAATGTCGTTGTTGTAAAATAAGATGACGAACTCTTATATAAAATGCAATGTCAAATCATAAAAGATATTTATTTACTTAAAGAATCATTTTATTTTTAATAATATAATAAAATTTGGCAAAGATTTAAAAACTGCTGGTTTTCGCACATATCATAAAATATCAAAATTACCAAGTCAATTGTTGTCAGCGGCCAATTAAATTTCAACAGAACTTTTCAACTAACAAAAATAAATTACTACTAAATTAATTATAATAATGGTTAGTATAAATAATTAGTTAATCGATCAATTAATTAATAATTTTTACGTATTCACAATTCAACAACCCTAAAATTTCGATAAAAAATGGCGAGTAATTCTAGAGAAACGTCCGATCTGTCGTTGATATCTTGCCGCCACTTATAAGGCGGACAGACGCCTACGCTTTAAAAAATAAGAATAATAACAACAGCAGCAATTACTACAATAATAAAACTTTAATAATAAGATATAATATTAAAATAACAATAAATACAAGAATAAATATAAGAATAATAAAACTGCATAGTACGTGTTTGTCACATGCACATGTTTTTATGTGTTTGTTCTTGCATTCATGTTATAAGTTTGTAATATATAATATTTTGCATATACATTGATGTGCGTGTGATGTACGCAGATGTGTGAACTATACATACTTACGTAAGACGCTGTATGTGTATCCTACGAAGCGTTATCTTAAATTTTCGTTTCAGACAAGATTTGATTGTCGGATGAGCCAGTTTGGAGAGTTAGCTCAGATGATGGAATCTCAGTCTTGAAGGTCGTATGATGCAGGCCATTTAGATAGATACATCGTGTGGTGTGGATGTTGTATCCTTATTGGTTGAAAAGTACAATTAACTAAAACCTAAGTATATAAGAAGACAGTTTGCAAGCAGTTTGCGTTTATAATTGAATTAAATTATTACGGAAGGTAAAGTATATCGCAGAGCTGAACCATAATAAGCAGCTCTGAGAAGCATTTCAATTTTAGTTAGTGTTAATAATGGAAAAATATTTGACGTAATAGCAATAAAATAACAGCTATTATGAAATAACGCAATAAAGCCGAAAGACCAGCTGTCTTGCTAAATAAGGATACTCTAAATATTTTATTGAGTCACGATTTCATAATATCTTTGACACCAGATCAGGAAACTTAAATGTTTCCATCATTATCATCATCTTTTTCGTTTCAATCATCAGCGTCATCGTCGTTTTCTTCTCTACCTCATCACGGAAACATTTTTGATTTAAACTTTCTGAATTATTAACAATGCCCTTTTATTATGTTTTATATGTCAATTCACTTTTAAAAATATAACTTCAATATAGCCCGTACGGCTCCTTGGAGAAAGTAATAACTGATATAATAAAATCTTATTATCTTTTTTTTAATTAAAAAATTGATTAAAAAAAGCTTTTCATTCCGAACTTTTGAAACGAATAAAAAAAATGTTGACACTACTTGGGCCAAAAGGGATGAGGAACATATTATCGCCTACTCTGGCAAATTTTCTTCACACAACAGCCGTACAATACGCGGTGGTAGACAAGCAATTGCTGAGTAAGTTGAGGAAATCAACTGGATTCTCCTTTGTCAACTGCCGTAAAGCGCTTGAAAAATTTGACAATGATCTCAAACAGGTAACTACCATTCTTCTAACTCTAGCCACAGAATTCATTGATTACATAATAAGTCATAATTGTATTTTAAAATTTTATTGTTTAATTATTAATTAGGCAGAAAAGTGGTTAAAAGATGAAGCTCAGAAGGAAGGGTGGGCAAAAGCATCAAAACTTCAAGGTAGACCGATGTCTCAGGGTCTCATTGGATTGGTAGTCAAGGACAACATTGCATCTCTTGTTGAGGTCCTGTCAAATTAATTCACTATTAAATTAATTCTATATTTCCTTTCATTTATATTTTAATAGCCAAGGCATTTATATGTAGATATATATTTATTCAATTTTAGGTGAACTGTGAAACAGATTTTGTTGCTAGGAATTTAAAGTTTCAAAGTTTTGTTGCAGCAGTGTCAGATGGTGTCTTACAACATGGCAAGTCAGTCAGCAGCAACAAGGTCGTTTCATTTTCTTTATATTTTTTATGGGATTTGTTTCAACTTGTCTTTATTTCTAATGCTTTTTTCACATTCTTAAAATTTAAAATACAAAATATTTGCTCTGAAGAATATACCTATGAACAGTTTGAAATGTAAGCTAATAAAGTCATAATAAATTTACAGTTACTAATGTCTCAAGATGAACTGAGCAAGGTGATGATAAATGAGAAGACAGTATCAGACCTAACAGCTTTGGAGGTAGGCAACTTGGGAGAGAACATATTAGTGAGAAGAGGAGTGGTCATGAGACCTGATAAACAGCTAGGCCAATATCTCTCTTACTACATACACACCACTGGTTTCTATTTTGAATTATGCTGAAGTTGATCTTTATTAATTTTATGTCTGAAATGTTAATAAAAAAATTGTAATTAGATAAACATTGCCAACAAATATTGTTTTACCCATTTCTTCCAACTTTTAAAACTCTTCAACAGGTCCAAAGATTCAACAGAGCAGTGGTCATTGTTTACTGGGCAAGTATGGAGCCCTTGTTATTTGTCAAGAAGGTAGTACTAACACTACAGCTACTTCACCAGCTGCTGATGCTGCATCTAGAACACCAACAACTAAGACAAACATTAGTTCAACTACAGAAACAAAGCCACAAGAAAGCAAAGATGAAGATGATAGCAGCAGTAGTAGCAGCGACAGCGAAAGCGATGAGGATGAAGAAAAAGTGTTTATGGAGAAAAAAATTCTAACTAAAGAAGAATTAGGCAGACAGTTGTGCCAACACATTGTTGGGATGAATCCCAAATGCATAGGATATGATACAAGTAATAGCACTAATCCAAAAGTGGATACAGAAACCAGAGCCACAAATGATGAAACTAAAAGTAGTGGCGAAAGTAAAAACGTTAAAAAGATTCCAGAACCAGACGATGAAGTGAGAATGATCTATCAGGAATATATGCTGGACACAAATTACAAGGTCATCGATGTACTTGACCACAATAACGTGACAATCGTTGATTACGTGAGAATCGAATGTGGGGAAGATATTGAAAAAGAGAAAGAGGTTGATATTAAAAAGGATAAGGCCAAAAAAGGGGAGAGTGTACATTAACATAGAATAAGAAAATTTGTATTTTGAGGATTTTATTAACTTCACTGTTTTAACCAATTAATAAATATTTCATAATTTATGAATAACAAATTTTCGAAACATTTTATTTAAATAAATAAATAAGATTATATGTACATAATATTTACAAGAACTTTGTCAGTCACGTCATTTCATTTCTTCGTCGTTATCGTCGCCGAGGTCGTCATCACTTTCATCATCATTTCTCTCATCATCTTTGTTAACTTCAGTCTCCATACCATTTCCATCTTCGTCGACGTCGTTTTCTGTTCAAAATAAAAAATGCTCTAACTTAGCTGACGAGTTTCTAAACATGGATTAAAAATAATTAACACAGCAACGAGACCATATTTACCGTCGGCAGCTTCGTCCAGTAGTTCTTGCATGTGCTTCACCATCTCTTCATCTTCAAAGTTTAGCTTCTTAGCTAACTATAAACGTTCAAATTCATCCATTCGTTATATTTACTAGACATGTTCAAACACCCATTCGTTCATTTATTCACGTGTTTGTTCGTAATTTTATACATTTTATCATTCATTAACTGACAGCACGCTTATGATTGTAACCAGCCTCTCAACCATTAAATAAATTATTTGATTATTAAATGAAGAGACCGACCTGCAATCCTTTCTCCAGGTAAACTTTCATGTTGTTAACGTAACCCTTACCCTTCAGGTGATTGATCAGACCTAGCAGGTACCAGACCTGAGAAATGTTCGATTTTTTTGGATAAAAATGTGACAATGATAGAAAAGGTTTTTAGACTTTACTTTTGTATGAAACATAGAATTATTGACACTGTAATCTTAATCAAAAGTTATTGAATGAATCTGACCTCAACTATTTCGTCATCTTCGTCAAGTAGGTATTCCAATATTTCAGAAGCTAACTTGAAATTTATGAAAATTGTGAAGACAATTTAAGAGTTTTGTGCAAACAAAACCATACAAGTTAATATAATTCAATAAATTTGCAGTTATGCGTTCACTATTCACTTTAATGGCGCTTCAAAGGCATTGAATTTTTTGAGAAAAATATGAATATATGTAAGAATTCAACATACATCGTATTTCTCAAGTTCAATCAATGTTTTACTGCAGTTGATACGGGCGCTGTAACTTACGGGACATACCTGTTTCAAATTAAAAATAATTAATTTCAAATTAATTTGCTATTTGTAACACGGCTCTATAACAATAATTACACAAAGAAATAGCAAAATTATGTCGAATAATAAGAGAATTAATTTGACATTCTAAAAACTAGAACATCAGTCAACATTGAACATTGAAATGTGTATTTAACGTAACCAACATTGTTGCTACTGAGTTCTGATGCACCTTCTTTGACAACCTCTTTAAGTTTTGGCAGCCAGAGATCAATGCCTTTCATTATCATTGAGTTTGCTGACTTAATAGAAATAATGCTATTTTATTATTTTTAATTTCATAGGCACATCAAAAGGATAGTACAAAATGTCATTAAATTAATATTATAGTTTAAAAGTACGATAAGATATCATAAAGACACTGCAAGGTAATGCACCTCCTTATCATCAACACTGATGTAATATGAAGAGTAAAGATGGTAGGTCTCAGGGTTCTCTGGGTCAGACTGGTGCGCCAAATCTAAATATTCTTTGCACAGGTCTGCCGCCTTCTCTTCAAAACTTTAATGATGAATCAAAATCATCTTATTATCTTGTAAAGTTAGATAAACAAAAACAAATACACATAAGAGAGAAAATAAATTATTTGTCAGTTGCTGCTACCAACCATGCATCTGTTAAGTATATTTCTGCAACTGACAGATAGGCATTGCTCAAATCTAATTTTGTCACTGATGCATTTTTCTGTTAAAGTAAATGAATAAATATATTAATTTAGACAAATAAATTTATAAAAATTTAGAAACATAAATTCATCAAATAAACAAATAACAAATGGTGAAAATATTCCAAATAATAATTTATTGAACTATTAATTACCTTTGTTAATTCTTTCTTCATGAGTTCGGTTCCTTTCAAATAATGTTGTATAGACTCAGAGCCACATGTCAGCTGGCCCATGCACATGTACTTGTTTGACCCTTCATCTGCACACACCTCTATTGCTTTGGAATAACTCTAATTTGTTTTAGAATTTTATGAGTTGTTTCAAAAAGTTTCTTGCTATACTAAGAGAAGCATTAAAAAATTTTTGAAAAATATAACAATTTCGATGTTTAAAGTTTGAATGTTTAAAATTTTAAATGAAGCAAATTTAATTTTAGCTTATTAAAAAAATTCTTAAAATATTTTTTTAAAAATATGAATTCAATCAAATTGACTTCATAAGCTTTGTCAAACATCATCAGTTGCAGATGGATGGCTCCTTGTAGTTCAAGAGCTGTTATGTTTTGTGGTTCAAGTTCAAGAGCTCTGTTGCAAAACTTCAGTGCAAGTTCAAATTCAAACGAGTCCATCAAGTTTTCAGCTTTTTCCAAAATTTTTAAACACGAAAATTTACTTTTTGTGTTTTCTAACGGAGTTTTGGATTTCTCTCTGTTTGCAATGACTGGAGAAAAATACAGAATGTAACTTTTACTTTTATAATTATAACTTAATTTAATTTAATTAATTAATACTATGGTTATCGTTATATTATTTATTATTAATACTATGTTATGTTATGATACGTTATGAAATGTTAACGGAACTGAGTTCTAAGTGGTAGCACAATCATTCTAACAAGTAACAAGTACCTAACATTAATTATTAATTTAATTTTTAATATGTTTTAAAATTTTAATTAATTATTAAATTAAATCAATGTTGTTTTAAAATTTTAATTTAAATGAAAATAATAAAATTAATTTTAGACCAACTTTTTTTAAACTTTTCTTTCTTCTTTGCCAGACTTTCTGATCTTTTATCCATTTTTATTTTTAATAAATTAAATCGTCATAAATTTAACAAAATTCTATCGTAACTACGATAGCGATCGCAATTAAATTAAGACGATAATAAAATAAACACATGCAGCATAGATGGAATAATTTAAGATAAACATCAAGAAATAAAAGAATGTGTATATTTCGACGATGATATAATGATAGGATGATTTGAAATTGAGCAGTGTTTCAACAAATGAACTTATTAAACCCGAGGTGGGCAATCTCACCTACCAACGTTCTTTGAATTCATTTTAGTAATTGTAATGAGTAGGTAAGTTAAGGGTGTGTTACAGACGGATGGCTCTGGATTTGAGCATGCAGTCAGAGGTGATTAGGATGATCGGACAGAGGAGTAGGTTTGGTAAAAGGTGCGTCCTACCTGCCTATTTTTGCGTTCTAAACTCCTACCTTGTGAACAGGGTATGTTTGATTTGAAGGGGCATGAAATCTGTAACGCGCTAACATATATACACGCACACTTGAATTGCTTGATCATGGGTTTGTATCTTAACTTCGAATTTTATTTCTCTCTGTCATGTTACGAGTTCGTTTTGGTTTTGTTTGCATGATAGTCTTTGGAGGATGTTTGTCAATAAGGCGTTTATATTCAAGAAAAATGTACTTAATGAGCAAAAAATTCCCAACTCATTCACAAAGTTATCACAATGCTTTGGCGCAGAAGCGAACACACACACACACCACACACACACAAACCACACACACACACACACTTACAAACAAGTAAACATATGCACACGTACATACGAAAACACACACATACATATAAACACACATACATACACACACACACACACACACACACACACACATATATATATATAGATATATAATATATATATATTATATATATATATATATATATATATATTCAGAGTATAATTGAATTTATGGCATATATTGGTATTTCTTGGTACATACATAAGCTCTTTGCTAGATTAGACCAGGAGATAGTTTATAGCTTCCATGCCATATTGCTAGTACATGACGTCATAATTGGATGGAGGGCACTTTAAACAATTATCTGGAAATATTGTTTTAGTCTGTTTTATCGTCATTATTATAATTATTACATTTTTCTTCTTCTTCTGAAAATTGGTAGTGGTAGTAGTAGTAGTAATAGTAGTAGTAGTAGTAGTAATAGTAGTAGTAGTAGTAGTAGTAATAATAATAATAGTAGTAGTAGTAGTAGTAGTAGTAGTAGTAGTAGTAGTAGTAGTAGTAGTAGTAGCAGTAGTAATAGTAGTAGTTGTTGTTGTTGTAGTAGTAGTAGCAGCAACAGTAGTAGCAGTAGTAGCGCTAGAAAAATAATGGTAATTCTAGTAGCGATAGTAGTAAAATTATTTGTAGCGAGTAGAATAAAGATTTTATGAGCCGTCACAGACATGCAAATTTAAATAACCGATCTAGCAGGAGGTTCCAACCAATGAAAAGAAGAAATATGATATAAGTTGAAAAAAACAAAATGATGATAAAAAAATTTACTAACGTGTATTTAGGCAGAGCAAATATGGCAAAAAGCATAAAGTGTATGCATTTCTATGCAGCTAAACAAATAGATAAATGTATGTGTGATTGGTGGATGGATGAATGAATGGATGGATAGATAATTGGATGGATTGATGGATGTATGAATGGATGGGTTTGTAGATAAACCGGTAGATGAACGGGTATATGAACAAATGGTTGGGCAGATGTATGGATAGGTGTTTGAAAGAGGAATGTATAGATGAATGAATGAATATATGGATGAGTTGGATACATGAATAGATGAATAAATTGGATACATAATCGATAGTAAAAAGAAAAAATGGTATCATGGATAAAATATCTGAATTAATGATTGAATGGATGAATGAATGATAAAATGGATTAAAGACTGAGTGAATGATTGATTGAACGAATGAATGAAGAATGAATAAATAAATAAATGCAAAAAAATAAAAAGAAATCTTGGTTTGACAGATGAACGGACAGACAGACGTTTGTGGGAATGCAGCTGCGTAGCATGTGTTCAGCAAAAAAATAATTGGACGAGTCGGCATGTGTGCTAATTTAATTAAATTTTTATTTCAAATTATTTCGTCCTTAAAAACATGAAAATTTAATTTTAAAACGTTTGAAGAAAAGATTAAATAATGAAAGGAAATGCTTTGTTCAAAAGATTTTCTTTTTGAGAATTAAATTATGTAATTCTGTAATAAAAGAAAATGATGAAGACGATGACTGTGATGATGACGACGATGATAAAAATATAGATTAAAGCAATAATATTAAAGATAAAATGCATGATAAGGCCTGAAAAATGAGAAAATATAATATGAAAAGTAGGACGATGGTGCATGGGATAACCGGAACACGAGCAAAGAACAACAATATGACAACGATGTCAAACGCGGCACATGATAGCAACAATGGTGATGATAACAAAGATAACAATGATGACTTTCAGTTTGATGATTAAAATAAATTTATGGTGATTTATGATGCGAAGATGATGACGATAATGACGACGACGATGATGAGAACGATGATGACGATGGTGATAGCGATGTTGGTACCTTTTTAAAAGCCTTCATATAACAGATATTGCCTTATTTGCGCCAAAATATTTGTTAGTATTAATTTGAAAATTTTCTTATCAAATATATTTTAGTGTTACTTCTTAATATCTTGAGTTGGATATTAACAAGTGACACATTGATTTAAACAGTAGAAATAGAAGTAGTAGCAGCAGTAGCAGCAGCAGCAGTAACAGCAGCCTCAGTATGTATCAGTAGTAGGAGTAATAGCTATAGTGTAGTAGTAGTACCAGTAGTATAAACGGTAGTATCATAATGATGATAAAAGCATAATGATGATAGTATCATAATGATGTAGTAGTAGTAGCAGCAGTAGTCGTATAAACACATCACGAGTAAAAATATATAGGATAGATTAAATTTGTGAAATCCTTTAAAGTCCAGGAGAGGCAATAAATTTGATGAAACCTAGAATGTACCAACATTTTTCAGAGCATAAAAATTCTCTTCACCGTCATCTTCATCGTCTTCTAAAGTAATAGTAGTGTAAACATCGTTGTCAACACCATCATCATTATGTTATCGTTATCATCATCATGATTCTATCATCATTATGATACTATTATCATTATGATACTACCGTCATTATGATACTATCATCATTATGATACTATCGTCATTACGATACTACTTTCATTATGAAACCATCGTCATAACGATACTATCATCATTATGATACTATCGTCACTATGATACTGTCGTCATTATCATGCTATTATTAGTATCATTGTTATCATAAACATCTCCCAAATACACTGGTACATGCAAATTGAAATACATACACACGTATACAGATACAGGGGTATGTAGGTGCATATAATATATTTATATATACATATAAATACAAATACACTTAATTATTGAATTGTATATATAATATATGTAATATATATAGATGTATAGCTACATATATATATATACACCTATATATATATACATATATATACATATATATATATATATATATATATATATATACACACACACATTATATAGCCCATATTCGCACATCAGACATTTTAACATTTTGTTCGGTCTAGTAGTTTAGTTTCGTTAATTTCGGTTTTGTTTTGTTTAGTTTCAAATGTTTCATTGAATTTTTACAGAAATAAATAATAATAATAAAATTGAAAAATAAAAATATAGCTTTGATTGGATAAACATGTAGTGTAACAAGTAGATAATAATAATACACGTCTGATAAAGATTGTCACCGATAAATAATAATTAAACTAACAATAATAATAACAGCAATAATAATAAAAAATAAAATGGTAAGAGAATATTGAGAGAAAGTATTTTTAGCGTGTTAACTTTTCTTTGCTCATACAACACGGAGAAAAATTATCATGTAAAATATAAATATACTTTGTATATGATAAATGATTATTGTTACATTATTATCATTATTATTATTATTATTATTCGTATCATTATCTTATTTTCGTTTTTATCACATCAATACAACAACAACAACAAAATCATTAACAACGACATTGTCTGCGGAAAAAACTCTGTAAAAACGTTTATACAACTTTGTTAGTTTTATTCCCAGAGACGAGACGAACATCATTTTCGTCATCGTCATCTCGTCATTGTTATCATCATCATCTTCATCAGCATCATCTTCTTCTTCATCATCATCACCGTCATCATCATCGTTGTTCTAATCATCATCATCGTCACCATAGTAATTTCACCATTGAAATAAGAGGCATAGAAATAATAATAATAACAGTGATTAATATTTCTATTATTGTCGTCGTCATCATCACCATCATTATCACCCTCATATATTCGGGATATTTGGGACAGCGTTATGTATGTGATGAGGTCTCTGGCTAAGACAGTGAATGAGTCATAACTCGCTAAATAATAAGAACAGTAACCTCTGATCAAAATAAGAACAACATCACTGCTAGCAACACTAGCTGTCAGAAAAATAAGGAGTTTGTTTGCTATTTGTTATTATTAATGTTATTATGATCACCACCATCGTTATGCTTAGTTATAAATATAGGATGACGATTCATTTTCACATTTAGAAAACCATATCATCATCGTAATAGAATTATTAGTATTTTACTCATTAAAATGTCTACCTACAACAACAACAACAACAACAACAACATTAGCAGCAGCAATGGCGAGGATAACAACATTAAAAACATCGACAACAACAGTAATAACATTAACAACAACAACAACAACAAGAGTAATGACGAAAACAAAAACAACATCAACATTAACGCAGAACCCACTAAATTAATCGAAAACAAGATAGATGGAACTACTACTACTACTACTACTACTACTACTACTACTACTACTACTACTACTACTACTACTGCTACTGCTACTACCACTACTGCTGCTACTCCCAATAATGATAATAATGATGGTGATAAAAACGATGACGTCACTGATGATGTCGGTGATGATGATGATGATGGAGCTGCATGTTGCGGTCTTGGTGGTGATGAGGTAGAATATTTTGACAATATTAAAAAGATAAACTATGCAATATGAATTAAATATTATTCAAATTTTATGTTAAAAACCATAAAAACAACATCAATTCAGTAAAAATGAATAGACTCAACAATTTAAGGCAAAATTTAGCCAAAAATATTTCATTTTGCTTTGTCTTTCATACAATAGAATACAGTACCTAAGTGCATACTGTGAACCCGGTTTTATGGGGCCACAATCTTTTCTTGGTATTAGGAACATTTTGTTACAGATCACTAAATAATAAGTAAACACCAGCGTTGTTACTTACTACACTTCAAGCTCGAAATTAGCAAGCCGAACGCAACAGAAAATCTTTCCTTTATATTATTTAATCTTATAATTAATAAATACAAAAACAGTAATAATAATATATGTAATAATAATAACAATTATTATTATAGTTGTTTTATTATTATTAATATTATTTAATATTCGTTATTATAATTTATAAATACATTAATAATAATAATTCTAATAATAACAATAATAATATTAATAATAATTCTAATAATAATAATTATTATTATTATAGTTATTACTATTTAATATTCGTTATTAATAACATTATTCCCCGGCGGCGGTCATCATCAGTTTCGCACCGGAAGTTTAATGACGTCACGATTACAGGTGATGACGATGACGAAAAGAAGAAAAGGATGATGATGATAATGATGAGATGATTATGACGATGATGCGAAGACCATGATGATAATGATGATGATGAATGTGAAAATATCATCATCACATGATTATTATTATCGTCATTTTAATGATGATGACGACGACGATGAAGATTTATAACAAAAAAACCCACATAGAAATAATAAGAAAAACAAAACTAATAAGAATAACACAAAATAAGAATAACAAAATAACAAAAATAATAAAAGAAATAAAACTAATAAAAATAACCAAAACAACCAAAACAACCGAAGGCATTCATACACATTTGCGACTTTATTATACGCGGATGTCAGTCGTAGGCTGGTATTTAGAGGTATTTCACGCTATTCTTCGGTATTCACAGCTCTGTTTTGGTATCTTTTGTGTATTTTTTTTGCAAGAATCTTGGTTTGTATGTCTATACATTTTATTTGTATTTTTATATTACTTCGATTTTGTTTTTGTTGATTATGTAGGTTGAAAAGTTTGAACATACCAAAATAGAATAGATAGTTGTTTATATTATAAACACTACACCAACATTGTATACATATATACTATGTTGAATACGTAATCACATATAAACGCATCCGTTAATATTTATACCCTAAATACCCTGTGTTTTTATACATGTACATAGATACATGTGGAAGAATATCAAATTAATTTATTTGTATACCTACGAAACAACAATACATACACACACACACCACCCACCCACCCACACACACACATACATACATAGATACATACATACATAAATACATACATACATACATACATACATACATACATACATACATACATACATACATACATACATACATACATACATACATACATACATACATACATACATACATATATACATACATACATACATACATACAAGCGACTTGAAACAAACTCAAGAAAAATGGTTTTAAATAAAATTTTCAAAACAGTCCAATCGTAATAAGCGAAGCAAGCTGAGGTCACGTAAGAGCCAGATGATGCTACTATGATGAAGAGGATGAGAATGATGATGATGATGATAAAATGATGACGATGCCAATGATGATGATGATACTGTCGTTGAAGACGATGTTGACACATATGGTGAATGCCCTAAAAATAAGTTTCAAAAATTATTTATCTACCTTTTGGGTTTTTTCTACACTCGCTCATTTATTTTTTGTCTCGGCAATCATTTTTATTTTACTTATCATTCATCATCATCGTCACAATGTTCTATTTCATCAGCACAATCTCACTCACTCGTAGTTCTTTTCTTTGTGTGTGTTGCGTTCATTGCTATATCATCGTCATAAAATTGTTTATGCATATTTCTTTAGTACCAGCATTTAACTAAATCATCACCTTCATCTTTCTCTGTTTATCTATGCTCTTTCATTATTATATTTTATCCATTTTCTTATTTTACTCTGATGATCATCATTATTATTTCTCTCTCTCTCTCTCTCTCTCTCATTTCCCTTGTTTTTAATACACAGTTTTGTTTTTTTGTGTTATCTGTTTTTCATCAGTTTGTTTTATTTCATTATCCTTCTTATTTCTTTTATTTCATTTTTTCTTTTCTCACTTTTTCCATCTTTCCATCGCTATCTACGCCACCACCTTTTTATGATTGGGGCAAAATGAGTGAGATACTGAGTGGCAAAGAAAAGAGAGAGAGCAAAAAAAAGAGAGAGAAAAAGAGAGAGAGAGGGAGAGAGTTGGTAGGCTGTCAATAGCAACCAATCCTCAGCGGAAATTATAAATTATAACCCTTTATATCTTTACAATGACAATGATGACAACAACAACAACAATAAAAGAAATAAAAGATATAACAATGATTATTATTATTATTGTTTTTATTATTATTATTATTGCTATTATTACCATTGTCATTATTATTCCATCATCATCGTACTCACCATTTCAGCAGAAATGTTCATAAACCCTCATATTGCGGTAGCCATCATAGCGTACAAATCTTCGGAGCAATTCAATTATAAATGCATCGCTGTATTATTGCACTTTCATCATCCTTATCACCAGATAAGGTGTCATCATTCTCATCACCATCGTCATTATCACCATCATCAACTCTGCCTACGTGGTCTGCCATCACTAACATTGTGTCCTTCAATCTCTTGGATACATAAATTATTATATTATATGTGTGTGTTTGTGTGTGTGTATTATTAATAACATCATAGGCACTAAACAACGCTATCATTATCATTGCCGTCCTCCTTTCCATCATCATTCGAAAGCTTAAAAGTGAACTTGGGTTTAAATCATTTTGATGGCAAAGCGTGAAGGCATGATTAATAACATTTCTCTACTTGGCACTACTATTACTGACACTACCACTACTACTATTACTAATTTTACTGCTACTACTACTACTTCTGTTTCTACTGTTGCCGCATGCCGCTTTTATGACTACTGCTGCTACTTTACTACTACTACTACTATTGCTGCTGATACTGCAGCAGCAACTACTACTACTGCAGCTACTCCTTCTGTTGTTATTACAACTTATATAACTACTAAATGTAAATACACTACCATGAACCTATGAATTACTACTTAGCTACCGCGACAAATACTGCTCGAGTGTTACCACCGTTCAGAGATTTCAGCTAAGGTTGTAAAAAAAAAATTCTGTCCATTGCGACAACTTTCAATGCAAACATTATTTTTATTGTTTCAACACACACACACACACACATACACACACACACACTCACACATAAACGCACACAGATATAAAAACACACACACAAACACACACACACAGATAAAAGCTTTCCATCGTTGTGTCTACTTGGGAAGTGTTGAGGAGTCTGAGAAGATGCTGGTGATGATGATAGAGAAGAGGAAGAAGATGAAGATTGTTGATGTTGCCAATTTGGTATGATGATGATGATGATGATGACGACGACGACGATGATGAGGATGATGGTTATGATGATGATAATGGTTATGATGATGGTTATTATGATGATGATAATAATAATGATGGTGATAATGATGATAAAGATGATTGTGATTAACGTTGTTACTGTGGTTGTGATGATAAATGAAGTTGATGACGATGATGAAGATGATGATGAAGATGACTATGATAGTGGATGGATAGTTTTGGCGATGGTGATATGAAGATGGTCATTATCATCTTCATCATATTTTATCAACAATGATGATATGATTAGACGCTAATTATTGTAGACAAATAAAATAATCTGAAATAATATTGATTCAGTTTGGACAGTCATTAATTTGGCAAAAATAACTCGCAATGAAAAAAGAGTTTTATCAGCATCAAACCCATCATCTTCTTCATCATTTTCACTCATTATCATAATCATTGTTATCATGTTGTAGCTATCACGAGCGGAATTACTGTTAACACTGCTATCAATCAATGTCGACTCATTGTCAACATCATCATTATTATCATCATCATCAACATTAACATCATCATCAACATCATCATTTTCACTAACATCATCATTATCATCATCAGTCTGGCCTTAGAGCAATCCACTTCGCTTCTAAAAGGGGAGATAGTGAGATGATGGAGATGCTGCTAAGGAGAGGGGCTTCTATCAACGCTCGGTCACGTGTTAGTTGTTGCTAATGATGATGATGATGATGAGGATGGTGGTGATGTTGGTAGTGGCAATGGTGATGATGATGGCCTGCATATATCATTTGCATGCACGCTTAACCGTTTCACTAATTGTTTCTTCCAATTGCCCTTATAAAATTCTTTGTTTATCTTGTTATTTTTATTATCTATTTAGTCATTCATTCATTCGTTCATTCATTCATTCGTGCATTCATTAATACAATCATACATACATACATACATACATACATACATACATACATACATACATACATACATACATACATACATACATACATACATACATACATACATACATACATACATACATACATACATACATACATACATACATACATACTTACATACTTACATACATACATACATACATACATACATACATACATACATACATACATACATACATACATACATACATACATACATACGTACATACATACATACATACATACATGTGACACATATTTAAATATAGTGTTGGGTTGGTTAATAATGGGGTAAAATTTGGGTTATTAAATATTAGGTCAATTATTACTAAATAGGGGGATGTATATCAATTATTAATGGAGGGTCTGGAAATTTTTGTTATCGTTGAATCGTGGCATGGTTCCTCTGATCATATATCGGTGAAAATGTCAATGCCACCTGGATATATGTTTGTTGATTATTTAAGAGTAAATGATCCATACCATGGGGGGTTAATAATTTTTTTTCGAAATTGGTACAAATTTGAAAAAATAAATGTACCTGTTTTTTCATCATTCGAGGCACTTTGTCTTGCCTTGACAATTGATAAAGTTAAAATACTTTTTTTGGCGATGTATCAGCCTGGCTCTGTAATGATATCTTCATTATTTTTTGAGAAACTGTCTTCAATATTAGAATTTGTAACATCACTATGTGATAAAGTAATTTTATTGGGTGATCTCAATATACATATTGAGTGTGATAGTGTGATTGTGGTCACACTATCCGCCTTAATAATTTGTTTGATCTGTTTCTAATGCGTAATGTCATAAATGAGTCTACGCATAATTTAGGAGGCATACTAGACCTCATCGTGTCTGGTTATCAAATGTCGGTTAATGATATCAAGATATATCCGAGTGGGGTACACTCGGATCATAGTTTGATAACGGCGTGTTTACCTATATCACGTCCGCTTTCTCGTAAGATGAAAAAATCAGTGCGCTCTTGGAATCGAATTGATAAAAATAAATTGATTTCATTAATTCAAGAATCACCAATTGTTAAATTTTGTGATATTATTGATGCAAATGAAGCTGCTGAGCTATTTAATAATGAATTATTAAAAATTGCTGATGCTGTTGCACCGATTCATATGGTTGAAAAATTGTGGCGACTGCACCTTGGTATGATGGTGAGTGTCGTAAGATAGGGCGTGATTGTCGAAGGGCAGAAAGAAAATATAGATTACATTATAGAATGGGGGACAAAAAATTGTGGGTTGAATCATTAAGGTTAAAAAACAAATATTTCAGGGAGAAAAAAGAAAATTATTGGAAAAAATTGGTTGATGAAAATGCTAATGATCCTAAAAAGTTATGGAGAATTTTAAATAAAATTTTATGTAAAGAGTCATCAAATGATTGTACTATGACCCATACAGCTAACGATTTCGTTGAATTTTTCATTAAAAAAATTGAAGGGATAAAAAACAATATATCTGTAGCTGGAGAGCCTACTATAAAGTGTAGGTCTAATGTTGACATAAAATTTTGTGAATTTTCGCGGGTATCGCAGTCTGAAGTTAGAACCTTTGTAATTAGTTCTCCGTCAACCTCCTGTATGATTGATTGTATGCCTGCTAATATTTTTAAACAATATATAGATTATTTTGTGCCCTATTTTACGGAATTAATTAATTTGTGTCTGTTAACAGGCACATTTCCAGCTGTTTATAGGCATGCAATTATTATTCCTCTTCAGAAGCATGCGTCTTTAGACATGAATGAACTTAAAAGTTTTCGACCTGTCTCGAATTTAACTTTTATTTCGAAGGTTTTAGAAAGAATTGTTCATAAACAATTTCTAAAGTATTTAAATAATAATAACTTTTTTCCGAATAATCAATCTGGTTTCAGACGCTTTCATTCGACGGAGACGGCCTTGTTACAGGTATTGTCGGAACTTTTTGAGGCTTCTGATCGCAATCAGGTCTCTCTTCTGACTCTATTTGATATGAGTGCCGCATTTGACTGTGTAAATCATGATACACTGTTACGTCGATTATGTTTAAGTTACGGTGTCTGTGACTTAGCTTTGGAATTTTTCAAATCTTATTTGTGCAAACGTACCCAGCAGTTTTATTATAATAATTCTTGGTCAAATACAGTTGATGCTTTGTCTGGGGTTCCCCAGGGGTCTGTTTTAGGCCCGCTTCTTTTTACATTATATACAGCCGATATTATGTATCTCATTGATGAATTTTCTTTAAAGGGTTTTGCTTATGCAGATGATGTTCAGATAATTGCAAGTGCGGCGACTGGGGAGTTTGATTTTCTGATTGAAAGAATGTTGGATTGTTTGGGTGCACTGGATGGGTGGATGGGTTTGAATGGTATAAAATTGAATCGGGAAAAAACTCAGCTGGTACCAGTTGGAACTTGGCAGCAAACCTCTAGGATTAACGTTGATTTTGTGAAAATAAGTGATATGATTATTGATTTTGGAAAAATGGCTACAGTTTTGGGTTTTAAAATAGATAAAAATCTATGTATGGGTGAACATATAAAGGTTTTGGTAAAATCTTGTTCATTTCAATTGCGGCAATTGTATCGAATTAAAAAGAGTTTGAACAGATCAACCATGGTTACTCTGATTCATTCGTACATACATTCTAGATTGGACTATTGTAATAGTTTGTTTTATAGTGTTTCGAAACATAAGATTGCTAAGTTGCAGATGGTTCAGAATAGAGCTGCAAGAATTGTTGTTGGTGCTAGTCGTGTTGAACATATTAGCCCACTTCTGTCGGAGTTGCATTGGTTGCCGGTCAGCAAAAGAATTGTTTTTAAAGTCTGTGTTTTGGTTTATAGATGCTTAAACGGATTGGCTCCGCAATATCTGTCCGAAATGTTGATTGACAGATCATCGATTTCTTTAAAAACTGGCCTACGATCAGATCGGGGAAACTTGTTAGTGGTCCCGGTTACTAAATTAAAAATTGCATCACGTAGTTTTGCAGTTTATGGACCAAGGCATTGGAATGAACTTCCATATTTTTTGCGCCGGTCTGGTCTGACACTTCCCCAGTTCAAGAGTCAATTGAAGACATATCTTTTTTCCTTGTAGAAAATTGCCATAGTTGTAAAGCGCCTATGAGAATGTTTTTATTAAGCGCTATATAAATGATCATATAACATATAATAATAATACATTTATTCAAGTTTGCGTATTTTGTTTACCTTTCATTTGTTTATTTTGCTGCATTTTGTACTCATTTGCATATTAACTTTTTAATTTATTTGCTCATTCCACATTCACTCATTCAAATACTCACTCACTCACTCACTCACTCATTCACTCACTCACGCACTCATTCACGCATTCATTCACTCTCTCACTCACCCATCAGCCGCCATGACAGCTTCTACCTCATGTTAACATTTGTCACAATTTGAAAGCTCTTTTCCCTTAATAACTAACCATACTTAATATTCTACTCATCATCATCGTCGTCACCACTATCATAATCATCGTCACCTCACTACGTCACAGCATTACAATATTGACATCAAAGTTATGTTGTTTGTCATCATCACAATTCCAATTAACATCTTATCATCACCAATATCATATCATCATCTACATAAATCAACATCATCATAACACATCGTCACCGATGATAATTTTGGAGTTATTTTCACCAGCAGTGTACTTTAATAATCTTCGAGTTAATGTCTGAAGTCTTCTCATATTTTTTGTTTACATTTTTTCTCTCCATCATCATCATCACCATCACTATCATCATCATTATTACCACCATCATCATTTTCATCGTCATCTTCACCACCATCACCATTCTCTTCATCATCTTCATCATCACCACCATCATCATCATCATCAATCTCATTGTCATCTCCATCATCATCACCACCACCACCATCATCAAACATCAGCATCGCCATCATCACCACCACCATAATCAACATCATAACCATCATCATCATCGCTAACTCATGTTGTACATTCTACCAGACCAGCCAACAACATTTTATTCGCCAACAAATGCCCGCTCGCGAAAATAATTATTGCCTCTGTACCCAGAAAATGGTGCATCATACGCTCGACACCGCGTATTTCTAAAAAAAATACCATATGCATACAAACATATATGCCCACACACACACACACGCACACACGCGCACATATCGTACATTCCTTCGTACGTACATAAAATTCACACGTAAAAAGGCTATTTTTCAAAAACGATATTGCTGTTCTAACTAGCCACATCACTGACGTCATTAGCATTATTATCACCGTCATCATTTTTAACATTCCTGTTCTTTGTTATCCTTTTAAAACTTCCACTTCCTCCATCATGGTTATCATCAAGATGTCATCATCATATCATCATCATCCTTCTCCATCGTTTCCGTCGTTTCATCGCCATCCTTTCATCATCATCATCGTCGTCGTCGTCATCCTCCTCTTCATCCTGGTCACTCCACAACCGTTCTGACATCATCTCCATCCCATCATGATGATGGTGAGTAGTAATTAAATGGTCATCAGCTCTGCTTCATCGTCATCTTCATTTTAAAGAGCCTCAACAACGTCCAATGTTCAATAAAAATGTTATACATTTTACGACATTCATAAAAATTAATTGCATGCGCTTGTGCATGGTGCATGGTGGGAGCTGCGTTGAGATTGCATATCAAATTGCTCTCTCGTTAATCGTCTTATTTATTTTTCATCCATCTTTTGTTATGATTAACCGCCACCATTGAATGAGCCTCAGAATTGTTATCACAATCATCACAGAGTCCTCGCCCCGACCATCATCCTCATCATTGCATTAACTTCATTCATTGCTTAAACTCTATAACTTGTCTTCAAACAATCTTGCATAATAAATCTACATCAACATGTTGTATATTGTGTGTGTGTGTGTGATGTGTGTGTTTTTGTGGTATATGTGTGTGTTGTGTGTGTTTTTGTGATATGTGTGTGTGTTTTTGTGGTATATGTGTGTGTTTTTGTGGTATGTGTGTGTTTGTGTACATGCGTATAAATCATAGATTGGATACATGCAACTGTCGTATACTTAGGGCACATATTACGAAAAGAATGCGAGATATTCGTGATAATTATGAATTGGTTCGGTGTACATCTAATTAACATCCTTGCGCAACTTCTTGAAAAGATGTTACGAGAAATAATTGATGTACAAGCGTGTTCGTTGGATGTTGTACAACAAATTTTGTGTACACGCACGAGACGGCCATGATAGTTACGCGCCGATATTGCTTTCCATTCATCCATCAATTCACCTTCTGTCCCAGCCGTCCATTCATCATTTTGCATTTATTTATTCTTTATTTTCTCTGTTTTAATCAATTAGAAAACAATCCTCTGTGAAAAATTGTTTTTTCTCCCTACGTACGCACATGTGTATATGCAGATGCGTGTGTGTGTGTGTGTGTGTGTTGTGCATGTATGCTTGCGTACAAGCGTATGTGATTGTATCATGTACGTACGTCGTACTGGTGTGTACTTGTTCTAGTGCATACTTGGTATGATTATATGATATGTTGGCATGTACGTATATATGTGCGTATGTTTGCACGTATCTACGCGTGTACCCAACAGAGGCGTCTGTTCTGATTCCAAACTTTTAAAAAAAAAATCTAGCAAAAGATAACAAAAGGAAAGATTTTCTATCGTCAGTGAAAAAACATAAGGTACATTCACGTGTGTCTCTCTTTTATCACATTCTTACTGACTAAAATGTATAAAGAAGCAGATATAAAACTAACGTATTACGACTAAAAAAACTCAATTGTTTCGGTAAATAGGCACTAACACGCTCCTTTATACGAGCAACTTTTGTACCGAAAGATCGTTACTTTGTTTTACATAAAATTCACATGTTATATTACACGAAAAACATTCCATAAAAATAACACAGACGCTTATACACACACACCTACACGCATGATGCCACGCATGCAAAGACAAACATACGCAAACACATAAACACATACGTACACACACACATACATACACACATGCACACTTATATACGCATACGCCCGTGCAGCCATCATTCTTCTTTAACGCCTTTCTCTGAAGAAAAATTTTTATTTTTTTGACCAAAAAAATAACCTTTCTTAAATTTAAATACTTTATGAGGTGACGTAGAAACAAAAATAAACAAAATTAAACAATCGTAAACAAAATTAAACAATCATAAACAAAATTAAGCAAACATAAACAAACATAAACATTGAGACGAAAAAGGTAAACCAACTCAACATTACGAGATACATCGTTATGGGATTTGCTCCGAACAAAAACATTGACAGCAAATGTCAAAAGCCGAAGTATAAATATAAAAACTTATGATGTAGAAGAATTAAAATTCCAAAACTGAAAACATATACATTTTCCATTATCATCATCGTTATTACAACTATCTGTATTTTCATTTTAATGCCATTGTAATCCTTTTAATCACGTTCTAATCATTTCAATCATATTTTAATCCGCGTCCTAATTATTTGATACGCAGAAGGGCAACACGGCCCTGCATACAGCCTGCTTGTCTGGAAACGTTGAAATTGTTAAAGTTCTTTTAAAGAATGTGGTGCAACTAAACGACACGTGCGAGTGCAATGAGGTTTGTAGCGTGGTGATCATCTATATCATTATCAGTATCATTGTTATCATCATCCTTATCATAGTGTCCACCCGACTATCAAAACTACTGCGTGTTTATTTGTCTTTAGGTATGTGTATGTATGTTTGTATGAGTATGTATGTGCATGTTTGTCATTGTCGCCATCATCATCTTTACTATCATCGTCGTTATTATCGTTATCAGGATCACTTCACTGCATTGTACATGGCGTCACAAGGTGGCCATCAGGAAATTGTTACCTTGCTATTGGCACACGGTGCCGATCCAACTATCAAAACAACGGTATGTTTGTTTGTACGTGTGTATGTGTATACTTGCTTGTAGGTGTGTATGTTTATGTATGTGTCCAGCACGTATGTTATAATAATGCGTGGTTGTTGGTTGTGTTTAAACACTTCATCAACGGTAGATTTAATGAATGGATGTACTTAATGAATGAATGCATTAATAAAAAAAACAAATAAATGAATGAATGAATGAATGAATGAATGAATGAATGAATGAGAGGAAGGAAGGAAGGAAGGAAGGATGGCTAACTTGCATCTACAGGAACTAATCCGAAAATGTAATTAATTCCGAAGAAACTATTTTTCGTTTTATCTCCATCTGTCTGTCTATCTCTTTCTCTCTCACTCTCTTTCCAGTTTTCTTTATCTCGTTTTCCGCTTTCTGTAGATCTTAGTTAAATCCCCATTTACTTGAATAAATATTGATCTTGTTCTTATTATTTACCCGGACCAAATAAAATTTTTAAATTGAAAGGTTGGGTACATTGAACGAAATTCAATTTTTTAAAAACGTATTTAAGGAAAAATGGCTGAATAAAACAGCAAATAATTCATTATTTGTGGAATTATTTATATGAAAATATGAACGGCGACTTCTATTTTTTGTATCATTCGTTCATTCAAACGGGGTCTGATCACGGAGGTGCAAAATGAAATTAGAAATTATCGAGATTGTTATACTTTGTTTTATAAAATTAAAACAAATATAAACAAATGAATGTTTGGTCAGAATGGCTTCCTGGCAGAGGACATAGCGCTCCAGATGGGTCACACGTCCATTGCTGAGTTGCTGTCCGAGTTCACCAGGCAGAAGCAAATGCAGCAGCTGAAGCAACTTGACAAACAACAACAACAACAGCCACAAGAACAACAATCATTACAACAACAAAAACAGCTACAACACAATCTATTTCATCCTCATCAATTTCTACATCTAACACACCAGCAACAACAGCCGCATCAACGACAGCAGCAACGAAGATCAAGAAAGTATTCCTTACAAATCTATCCGCAATCATCCTTCATTTACCAACAACAACAACAACAACAACAACAACAACAACAACAACAACAGCTACCTCACCAACCACAACAAAAATTGTTACTTCAACCACATCTCAAGCAGCAGCTACAACAACAACAATCCAAGGGTCGTTTAATTCGGGTGCGAAACAGCAAAAGTGCCGAAAAGTTGTTGTTGCGAGATGGCGTGCTGGGTCTGATAAGAAGGGCTCCTGCCATCAGTAGGCGAGACCTCTTCCCTAGTCCAATGAGAGGTAGTTATTTCGAAAGTTCCGCCAACCAATCAAAGACCGCGAATGCATCTAAACATAGTCCCTCTGCTACCGGTGATCACGAGGGGTCCACCTCGTAAAAGAAAGAGAGGAGGAAGAGAGAGAGAGAAGGAGAGAGGAAAAGAAAGAGAGAATAAATAAAAAGTAATGAAGAAGAAATAGATACAGAGATTTATAGAAAAAAGACATAGAGAAGATAAAGATAGAATACAAATTAGAGATTGAAAAAAAAAGCATACGGTTCGCTCATACATTCCCAGCAGAAATAAATCATCCATAATTATTTTTATGCTGTATATGCAAAATGTCATACGTGATTTGGAACGCGTGGGTTATTTACGACGCATCCATAAATTAATTTATACTCTAATTAATGCATCATAAATGACATTAATTTTTCATCTATAATATTAGTTTATTAGTTATATTGACATTTTATGTGTTTGGTGTGCGTGTATGCTTGTGTGTGGTGTGTGAGTGTTTGTGTAAACATAAAGCATGCATTATGTGTTTGTATGTACGTAGCGAGAGAGAGAGAGAGAGAGAGAGAGAGAGAAAGAAAGTAGAAAAGAAAAAGCATGTGTATCATTCTTCCATTTCATCTTACGTATTTATTTCTGCTTGGTTAGCCAACATAGCTACATAGCCGTTCGTTACTACGTTCATTCAACATTTCTTCTTGCCAGCATGTCTCTTCTATTCGTTTCCGTCTGTGTTTGTTTGTTCGTTTGTGTGTTTGTTTGTTTATGTGTTTGTTTGTTTGTGCATGTCGGTCAACTTACTTTTTCATTTCAAATATCATCTATTGTAATGGCAAGTATTATATCTATCAGTTTTTAAAATGTAACTAACTGGTTAGGCGCAGAAATAGGTTTAAATTATTTTCAGTCTACATACGTATCGGACACCTTAGCAATTATTATTATTCGATCTATGTAATAAATAGATATTTTTGTAAAACATACTATGGAAATAAATATCTAATAATTAATATCATAATCGGCATCATCGTCATCATCTCCACCACCAACATCACCATCGTCTCCACCATCATCATATTCAAAATCATCATCATAGTCTCCCCCACCATCATCCTCATCATCTCCATCATCATCATATTCAAAATCATCCTCGCCAGAGACTCCAACACGTTTGAATCAAGCCAATGACATATTAGGCTTATTTTTCTGAACGTATTTTATTTATTTTCACGGCCTAATGTCAATCTGATGTAAGTCTAAATTATTTACATGATCATGTATTGCAATATTTATAATAAATTAGAATGAATATTGATGTCAGATCATTAACATGCGACGAAAAAGATAAATAAATAGATTTTTAAAATTTATAACGAATTAATTGTATTTGTTATGAACTAATTGAATTAATTATGAATTAATCTTGTTATTATTCTGAATTATTTTCAATGAAATGTTTTTTCTTCTAAAAAATCTTTTTAAAAAAAATTTTGTATCTTTTGACTCGAATTTTTAAATTGAATAAAAAAATCCTCACTTATTCACCATTATCATCACAACCATCATCACCATCATAATCATCATCGTAGTCATCATCATCGTAGTCATCATCATCGTCATCATCATCATCGTAGTCATCATCATCGTCATCATCATCATCATTATCATCATCATTACCTATCTCTCGTACAAGATTGTAATTTAGCCATCAATCTGTCAGTTAAGGGTGATATGGGTTTTATTATTTTTCTTTGCTGCAACAAGTCTCTGGATTAAAAAAAATATTAAAATTACAATTTAAAAATAAATTAAATGAAATATGTCATTAATTTGATGCATTGATATCATGTAACCTATGTAATACATTACATGTAACCTATGTAATACACTACATGTAACCTATGTAATACATTACATGTAACCTATGTAATACATTACAGGTAACCATTCCATTACATTATCATCAATTTGATCATTCAAATCATCGTCATCGAATGCCTCTTCATTAATCATCGCCGTCATCATCTTCCTCCCTATCATCGATGTCAGCAGCAGCAGCAGCAACTCGCCATCCATCATCATCTCCATCGTCATCGGCAACTTCGTCGTCGTCGCCATCGTTACAAAACCACCATCCCAAAAATCACCGCCATCGTTAATCATCATTCATTCATCAGCCATCACTGACCGAGCCAGGCTTTGATGTTCGGGCTTTTTGGAATTCATGGAAGCGTGTATGCAAAACTGCGCAAAAACATCTCGCTGGAAGTTATAAAAGAAGAAAATTAGATCATCATCATCATCATCCTCATCACCATCATTGAAATTCTCATCATTAAGGCTCTTTACATTATTGTCATTGTCACCAATTTTGATTTCACCATAAATTCCATCCCACTATCATAGGTCTTTTCATCATCGCCATAGTAACCATCTACTTCCACTATTTCCATCATTACAATATTATCACCATCGCAATCTTCATCATCTTAATCATCACCAACCTGAGCGTCACTGCCCCCAATAACAACCACCAAATCACGTTTGATTGACGGCTGGAATGCTCCAAACAGCCCCTCCCCGGATTTTGCTTCCTTAGGGCCCATCTCTTTTTCCAGCCCCTCGCGGCCTTTCCCGAATTTCCCCTCTTGAATTTCTTTCATCATCTCACGGAACAACTCAACAGCTTCTTCATAGAAGCCCTCGTGATAGGCCAGCATGGCACGTGACAACTTGAGGCCCACCAATCTCGAGGTCATCGTATATTCGTTCGCGTGTGGCTGGGTGCTTTGTTTGTTTGTTCGTTCGTTAGTTTATTTTCCTTTGTTTGTTTATTTTAAAACCTTAACTAAAAAATCAAAAAAAAACATACCAGCAAATACATTAATACAATAATACAACGAGCATATATATAACGATCAATCAACCAATCAATCAACCAATCAATCAATCCATCAATCAACCAACCAATCCATCAATCAACAAATCAGTCAATAAACCAATAAAATAACCATCCGACCTCAAATAATCCTCAATGGACTGCACAAACTGTCTGGCCTTCACCCTGTGACCTGACCCGAGGAAGACCATGAGAAAGTGAAGGTCATTGAAAGTGTACACGTGATCGTTTGCGTGGTTCTCGCAGGTGCTAATTAGCCCGCAAAATCTGTCTTTCAAATCAACACCTTTGAAACGTATTAGCAGGAGTGTTGTGTTGTGGCGGGGGAGTTTTTTAATGCCAAACATGTTTTTGATCAGTCGGATTTACTACTAATTGATTGATTGATTGATTGATTGATTGATTGATTGATTGATTGATTGATTGATTGATTGATTGATTGATTGATTGATTGATTGATTGATTGATTGATTGATTGATTGATTGATTGATTGATTGATTGATTGATTGATTGATTGATTGATTGATTGATTGATTGATTGATTGATTGATTGATTGATTGATTGATTGATTGATTGATTGATTGATTGATTGATTGATTGAATGATTAATTGATTAATTGATTAATTGATTGATTGATTGACTGGCCGAATGAGTGATTGAACAAATGGATAGAAAAATGAATGATTGATAGATAATGAGTTGTTGGTCTAAAAGAAAGGAAGGTAGATGGAAACATGTGGGGAAGAAAGTTGATGCTTAAAACATGAAAAAAACTTCATAAAATCCGAACAATCGATCAATCAGTCAATTAATCAACCGACCAATTAATCAATCAATCAATCAAACATTCAATCAATCAATTAATCAATCAATCGATCGACCAATCAATCAATCAACCAATCATCAACTAACCAATCAACAACCATTCAATCAACTAACCTTCCAACATCAATCTGTATAATATTGAACAAGCATCAACAACGTTGAGCATGTTATCAGGATCTTCTTGAATTCTTGGACCAATCTTTTATCATCATCATCACCATCATGAAAAAACAAATGAATGAACAAATGGGTGAATAAATGGATGGATGGATGGATGAATGAATGAAGGAACAACCGAACAAAAAATAAAAGAATAAAACAAATTATAATCAATAAAATACCTTAGCATCATATATAGCCAAGGCCCTACCATGGTCACCTCTCTCTATGTTGAAGACTGCATTGTGCCAATGAACGTGACAAGACATTAAGTTGCAGGACTTATAGTGTAATTTTATTCTTCGCATTATTATACTATCATTATTGTTATTATTATTATTATTACATAATTAGTTACTTAATTAAGAAACCTGCCAATCATCAACAGTTTCATCAAGAAACTTTGCCCCCAAATTAAACTGACCAATCATCTCGTATACATGGGCAAGTGCGTGCGTACTCCAGATGTCATTTCTTAAATGCTTCAGGCCCTAACAATATTAATTAATTAATTATATAACTAATTAATTAATTAATTATAACTAAAATGAACGTTTTTTGACATAATTAAAAGATGAGGTGGTCTTAGTATGAAAATATTTGAACAATTGCATATCTTTTGATAAAAATATAAAACTTGATGAAACATTTTAAAGAAGTACAAATTAATTACTCGCAAATAAAAACGTTTAATTTTTTAGTTACATGTTTGAAGATGGACACACGTGTAATTAAAAAGAACTTCTGAAACAATTCAATTACTAAGAAAAATCAAATAAAAAATGTTTTAAAAGTGACTGGCTCAACCTCTTTGGCCAATCTCTCAGCCTCTTCATACTCCTCATTCTCACAGCATCCAAAAGCCTTCATCCCAAAGAGGAAGTGCCAGTAGGGTACTTGAGGGCTCCACTTGTCTTGTACCCTCTCAATAGAACCTTTCAGGTCCCTTTTGTAACCAAGGTAGAAATATGACTCGGCAGCTAATTTCAGTGCCAGTGGATCTGTTGGATGGCTCTGCAGGATTCTTTCCCAGATTGTTGAGGCCTTACCCATAAATCTGTGTGCACATGTTTGCATTGCTGTGTCAGAGTGTGCGTGTGTGTGTGTGTGTGCGTGCGTGCGTGTTTGTGGTGTGTACACACACACTAACTGTTCAACTGTTTCAATTATCAAACATGTAAACACAGATGATTAAGCATAAAAAACAGAAAAATGAAAAAGAAAAACGAGAAAAAGAGAAAACAAACGAACCCCTCATCTAACTTTCTCAGAGCATCAACATGCAGCTTCTCCCTTTCGGAAAGATTGACATTTTCAATGGCCAGTCTGTATGTCAGGTCGAGACTTTCTCGAAATTCTTTATTTGTCAGAGGATTGCTGGTGGTTCCCAGGAATTGTATGGAGTTTAACAGCACATGTCCCATCACAGAAAAATTTATTTGAAAGGAAAAAAGCAAGTTAATATTTGACATTTATTGAACTCTAAAATATAAACAAAAAGATTAAATATTAAAATGATTAGAAAATAAAGTCTGATGAATGCTAAAATTATATAAAGAAACCAAAATCAGGATCAGAATCAATCATTTGTTTCAGTGTGCCCAGTAAACCTCCCATGCTTTCAAACTCTTCCCAGTGGAACAGCTTGCAAAATCAACATTATTAACTAACTAACACTATCAGCCATCACAATGTTCATAATTAATATTTTAAATTCAATTAATTATAATATAAAATAACACTTAATTCTCATATACAATTTACTTTACATACACACTTCCTACAACACACTCACGCACACAGACTCAGAAACATACACATCTACAAATATGAATACAGACAAACACACAAATTTATATCTCTATACAAACAATATACGTACACATTCATAGATGCACACAAGCATGCATATGTACATACACACAAGCATGCATATGTACAAACATGTACACATATGCACACATACACACCTGTTCTAGAACAGCATCAAACAATTTAGCTGCTTCATCACTAGTTGTCGTTAGTGGCAAATCTTCATTGCACCAATCCTTTGGTTTCATTTTTTTAGTAAATATTGTAATAGATCTACTACCACCAATCAAAACTACTACACACAACCTTCACTAATGCAAGCCTAACTATCATCAAGTCAACTATCATATAGAATAGATAGTAAGGTGTATGTAAATGTAAATGAAATGTGTAGTAAAAAGTTAAAAACCTGACGATTTCTCCAGCAGGTACGCATTTTCTTTTTTAACATCAAGATCTAAAAAGACACCACATAATCGACCGAATAAGACATAAACGTTTTTTCAAATCTTGGAATTAGATCAACTTTTTTGCCTGCAAAGTCATTTAATTTTTACAAAGCATTCAAAGTTCAAATTCCGATCAAAACTTGGGAAATTTTCTACCTTTATTAATAGAACAATATGTAAAAAGTGGAATTAGATAATTAACTTTTCCAAACTATTTTTATCCTACATACCCTTATATGTTGGCGTGCCTTCGTGTGTTTGTGTGTTGGATGCTTTGTGGTGTTTTTAGCTATCTATTTTGGTTATGCATTTTGATTCTATATGGTCAATCAACTGATATTGTGATTCTATGTAGGGTTAGTGACATTTATTCTAAATGTATATTTTTTGTTATCTGCACACACCTTTCCAAAAGTACTTCTCCAATCAGCCTGTATGAATATGTTTCATGCGAAATGTAATTGATAAATCAAGTTTAACTGGTGCGTAAATCACACATTTTGTTGTGTTAATTAAAGTTTATTTATATGCAAATCGAATTACATTACATCAAATGGCTCCAAAACAGTTATACAAATATGTTACTAATACATGTGTGTCGTGTTTATGATAAGCCGTTAAATATTCAAGTCATTCTAATGATGATAAATACTTTTCAGATTAGGCAAATTATTTATTTATTAAATTTAAATTGATAGATTTCAAATCAATAACAGAATTCAAATCATCTTTGACGTTAAACGCAGAGTGCATTCTTTTCATGTAAGATCGGGCAGTAGCAATTCCAACATAGGCTCTGCATTTCTCCAATATTGCAAAATATTCAGCTGAATAAATCTCATCAACTCCTTCAACATCAAAGTCAATGTTGCAATCGTTATGGCAATCTCTCACGGCATTTGTTATCACCTTGAAGGCTTTCTTGAAATGAGTCAACGATTCTTCAAACTGTTTCTGCATTTAACATCAGAAGGTAAAATTTTAATTTATTGTTATGTTTGCATGTCTGTTTGTGTGTGTGTGAGTGTGTGTGTGTGTTAAATTTGTATGTTTAAAACTAAATAGTTGGACATTGCTGATAAATATTTATCAATTAACATTCTGTATCTTACCGATTCGAATAACAAAATGCCATATGAACACAGTGCCTTTGCTATGACAATTTGATCGGAATTATACACTGGTAGACCAATACATTTCTCTAAATACTCCAAACTTTCGCTTGCCTTCCCGATTCTTTATTGTTTGGAAATATTTATTCAAACGAATGTTAAGTTTTAATAAATTAAAAATTAATAAGTACTTTTTGTAAACTTCAAATATGGAATAAGAAGCTCTTGTAATGCCCTTTATATTTTGGGTGGTTTCATAAATTGCTAGACATTTGTGAAGTGACTGTCGAGAATTATTTTTTGCATTTTATAATATTATTTTGTGATAAGTAATTAAGTAATGTGAAAATAATTGAACAATACAAATTATATTGTATAAACATCATATCCGAAATAAGATTTTTAAACATGTTACCGGCAAAGCCTCATCAAAGTTATTTTCGTGTGTCAAATGTAGACCGTATTGGTAATGAAGGTCACTTAGTAGATCGGCGTTGTCAACTGAACATCAAATTATTCGAGTTATTTAATTATTATTTTCCGCGGTAGATAATAATGTATTTAAAGCCAAAAAAAGAAAATATTAAATTTAAACAATCAACTACTTTTGTCTCCAAGTTGGAAAGATTTCTGCAAAATTGGTAACTTTTCTTTATGATTCGTTTTTAACGAGTTGATCAATTGAAGATTAATTTTTACGAGGCTCTCACAGGCTGCGGCATGCAATTCTTCACAATTTTCCACCTCAGGAGTTGCGATGTTTTTCAGAGTAATTTTGTAAAGTTCTTCAAAATCTTTCGTTGCTTGTTCATATTTCTCTATTAAAATAATTGGAATTTTTTTCTTTTGATAAATTAAAATTGATTTTAATTTAAAAAATTAAACCTTTTTCAACAAATTTCAACCCTCTTTTTAGCAATTCATCTGGCTTCAAATTGTATTTGTCTTTCAAAAAATTTTCATAGCAGTTTTCACAATTTTTTATAAAATGTTTAGCAAGTATTGGGTCGTCATTTTTTTCAAAGTGAGCTGCGAGTTTTTTGTGGACGTCGTAATACTTTTCATAATCGCCTTTATCAAAAGTAGTAACCATTATCACTAATCGTGACATTTGAAAATTTTAACGACAAATTAAATTGCAAAATGCGAAACGAACCTACCTTTCTGTAAAAATTTTTCAGCTTTAACCAAAGCCGTTTTTAAGAACATCAAAAAGTTCATGTTATAAAACGTTATATTTTCTGTCGCATCAACACTTTTGTTATTACCATTTATGCCGTTATTATGGTAATTAATGCACCTATTGTTATTTATTTTATCATTTTGTTTGCTGTTGCAGAGCATAGCTTCATAATCTTTCAACTGCAGTATAGTGATGAGTTCGATGGTGGACATTTTGAAGTTTTTGTCCACAAGAATGACCCTAGCGTTACTACGTTGTGTTGTTTCTGAACTGTTTGTTGTAGGATTGAATTTTCGAAAAATAATTGTGAAACATTCAAGTTCCTAAATGACCAAACATTAACTTAACATTAAACGATGAAATTCTTTTAAAACCGAGAGGTAGTTGTTACATCGGAAACTAAACAATAAATTTATTTTATGTAACGTAACGACTATAAGTTTTTAATCCTACAATACAAATCCTTTTATATAATTATAATTATATAATAGTAAGAGGTATTGTATATGTATATTGTACAATTTAAAATATTCTATTTACATAAAAATATCCAATATGCTAACTTTTCATCAAAATAATTGAACTTCAGCAGAGGTTTCTCTGAAATTTTCCTTGAAGACTCACCAAGATCTGATGAGCGCCTAGTACTTGCAGTCTCAATTAAAGGCAGTTTCAGAAACATTTTCAAATGTATTAATTTGTTTTATCTCATTAATTCATTTAATTCATTGACTAATTGAACATGTTTAGCACCAAACCATTCACAAGCACTTGCAATGTAGGCAGCTTCCATAGTTACCATCTTCTAAAAGTTAGAAATGGGATGGATTATACAATTGAAATCTTTTGTTTGCTTGTGGCTTAGAACAAACTTCACAAATAAATATGTCTCCATGCAATAAAAATAAGTATAAGTAATGAAAAATAATAGCGAAATTGTTGATTCAAGAGTAATTTTTGTAAAAAAAATATTAACAACATGATTAACATTAACAACCGGTACGATATATATATATATATATATATATATATATATATATATATATATATATATATATATATATATATATTCTATCCATTATATAAAATTATATAATATGTATATAAATACACAATGATTTCCTTCTCTCTAGTGACAATAGTAATCTTACTGTTCTTCTTGCTCTTGACTTTTCTTCAGCTTTTGATACTGTTGACCATACTATTCTCTTGAGACTGCTGCATCTTTCTTTTAATATTACTGATTCTTGTCTATCTTGGTTTTCTTCTTATCTCTGTAATCGTTTTTCTTCTGTTGTTCTCAATAATTCTACTTCTAACTCCTCTACTCTTACTTTCGGGGTACCTCAGGGTTCTATCCTTGGCCCTCTTATTTATACTCTATACTTCTGAACTACCTCGTATTATTAATAACTTTTCTTTCTCTAGTCAACTATATGCTGATGATTCTTATATTTATACTTCTTTTCCTCCATCTAATCTCAATAGTGTTCTTCATAATTTATCTCTATGTCTTTCTTCGATTATCGCTTGGTCTGATTCTATGTGTCTTAAACTTAATCCTTCTAAGTTTGAATTAATTTGTTTTAATAAATCTAAACACTCAATTACTATTCCTCCTATTATCTTACCTTATTCTAAAACTCTTGATGTCTCTCATAAGTTTCGTAGTCTAGGTTTTATCTTTGATTCTACTATGTCTCTCTCTTCTCAGATTAATAGTGTTGCTAGAAGCTCTTACTTTCATCTACGTAGAATAAAAAAACTTTTGCCTTTTCTTGATGATCCTACTCTTCTCCTTCTTGTTACTTCGTTAGTCTTATCTAGGATTGATTATTGTAACTCGCTCTACTATGGTCTTCCTGACTCTATACTCTATCCTTTAAGTAAAGCTCTTAACTCTGCTGCTCGTCTAGTTGCTCGTGCACCTTTCTTTTCTCATATATCTCTTGCACTGGCTACCTATAAAATATAGAATAATTTTTAAAATTTGCACGTTCATGTATAAGTCTCAATCTAAATTATTTCCTAAGTATTTATCAGATATATTAATTGAACCTAAACGCCCCGGTTTACGATCGTCTTTTTCTTCTCGCTTTTTCTTAACTCGTGTTAAACACTCTCTTGCCAAATCTGCTTTTGCTTTTTCTGGTCCTTTTCTCTGGAACTCTCTACCTACTTCTCTGACTACTTCTCCATCACTTGCGAAGTTCAGAGCGGATCTCAAGACCCATCTGTTCTCAAAATTCATTGAGGAGCGCTGTTGAACATCGCGGAAATAGCGCTTTATAAGCTAATTGATTGATTGATTGATTGATTGATATATAAAAGATATATACATTATATACTATATATATATATATATATATATATATATATATATATATATATATGGATTGATGTTAAATGTAATTTCTTTGTTAGTAACTAAAAGCTCTTGTGTTACTGCGGCTAAAAGTTAATTAGATATTTAAAATACTCAGTGCTCTGGAAAGCGGCGTTTCGTATTGTCAAAAGAAACATTTTTACTAAAATTAGAACAAGATGGAAATTGAGGATGAAGAAGCGAAAGAACAATTACATTTTTTGCGTGTTGTCTTTGCTTTCAAATGCTACAAGTCTGTAATGATCTTCTGAATTAAACTTATTTTTAATTTTAACATTTTTTTATTTATTATTTTATTTTATTGTTTTTTATTTATTATTATTATTAGTTGTAATATAATTATATTATATTATATAATATAGTTTATAAATATATATATAACCGAATTTTAATTTCAAATCTGGACTGAAGTCAAAATTCAGTTGTGACTAACTAAACATATTCTTTTTATTTAGTTTAGATTTTAGAAGATTAATAAATTTAATAATTATTTTAAAATAGTTGAAATATTTTAATTTTTAAAATTGTTGTTAATAATTAAAATTAATTTCAATTTAATTATATTATTTAATTAGAATTTGATTTGAATTAATTAATTCATTTATTAATAACATTTTATTTTTAAATTTTTTTTAAATTAAATATTTAATTTACTAATTAACAACATCATACCAAATTCTATTAGATCCTACTCCATGAAACAAATCAAGCAAACAGAAGATTCATATAAAAAACTACCTGACCACCACAAACTGCTCCTGCCTAATTTTTTAAAAAACCTTAACACTGTTACAGAGTGCATAGACAAGAATTATGTGGTCATCAAGGAAATAATATCAAGTACTGAGAATATGTTTGAAAATAAGAAAGATGTCTATTCAACTAATTACCTTACGGTAATTTTATTATTATTGTTGACATACTGTATAATACTATTGTGAGAGTATATGGAATGAATGCTTGTTAAGTTTTAGTATTATAGTTCATGAATAAAGTGAGCTAACAATGAAATTTGGAACTTACTAATGTTGATGTGTTGAATTTCTTTATTTTTGTAAAATTTTTTAAATTAAACAAAATATATGTTAACACAGTTAACTTTAAAATTTTGAATAATTTCATGACTGTTAAGATGAAGAAGCAGCTGGGAATAACCCATTTTGACATGGACAAGGTGAAGAGCACATTGAAACAGTTCATGAGAGATTGGAGTAGTGACGGGCAAGCAGAACGAGATGCGTGCTACAAACCTGTCATCGACGAAATTGTTCACATATACTCTGATTGCAGGTTTGTATGAATAATTTTTGGCAATTTGAATGAAGATCTTTTGATTAATTTTTTGTTTTTAGAATTGCAAGTTTTGTGGCGTTTTCAATTTTTTTGGTTTAATTTGTCAATTAAATTGATTTATTGAGCCGATTTTTAAAGTTTGCTCTAATGAGTATTTTATTATTCTTGCATTTTATTATTGTAATTGTATATTTTTCATAAATTTCCTAATTCTAGTGATCTAGGCAAAGTAGAGATATTGGTGCCAGGAGCAGGAATGGGTCGACTTTCATTTGAGCTTGCGAGGTTGGGGTTTGCATGTCAGGGAAATGAATTCAGCCTCTTCATGCTCTTTGCATCAAATTTCGTTCTCAACAAGTAAGCTATATATACTTTCTTCATTTTTCATCAAAAATACTTTCAATAATATTATTTCATTTGTAATATTTACTTACAAAAAAATTATGCATATGTTTTAGTGACTGACATTATTGTTTCACATGCACTCTTACATAAACAAACTTGTGCCCAAACCATAGATGCAAGGAGTTGAATGCATTCACCATCTATCCTTGGGTCCACCAGACAAGTAACAACATGAGGACATGTGATCAAGTTCTCCCCGTCACGTTCCCCGACATCAACCCGAGTGACTTCCCTGACAATCCAAAGTTTTCCATGGTTGCTGGCGATTTTCTGGAGGTTTACACAGATCCTGGTGATTTATTTTCCAATAATTTCTGCGCATTAGTTGTTTGTATTCCTTTCGCATTTGATAAATTCGTTGAATGAATCATTAAAAATCATTTCCAAATGACAAATAGATCTGTCAATGAACTAATCAAGTTGCTTAATCAATCCTTTGATCAGTCAACTATCCAACCATCTAAGTGACCTAATCATCTTGCAAACAAATAGATCATTCTTATCAATCTTCAATCCAACTGACTCACCAATCAGATTCATGGGACTGCATTGCAACAGTATTCTTCCTGGACACGGCTCCCAACGTCATAACTTACATCGAATCCATCTGCAAAATTCTTAAACCAGGGGGATACTGGATCAATTTCGGTATCATCGTCATCGTTACGTCATTATCACAACTTTCTCTTTACCTCCCCATCGTCAACTACCATCATCGTAATCTTTCCTTTTATCATCACTATTATTATCTTTTTTTTATGGCCATTATCACAATTATTATCATCAGTTGACATCATCCTCTTGTTTAATTTTTTCTTTTCTTCAGTTTCACTCCAAGCTACATTCACGACATAATTGATGGTGATGATAATATAAACCTTTTTAATCCAATAATATTATTTTAATAATATTCTTCACAATAATATTAATTGTTATTATTATTATTATTATAAAAAATTGTTTATATTAATGTTACATTTGGCTTTCCCTCTCCATTACAAAGGTCCCTTACTCTACCACTTCGCTGACATGGCAAATGAGAATTCAATAGAATTGAGTTACGATCAAGTCAAACATGTTATTGAACAGTTTAAATTCGAAATCATCGTTAGTATCATAAGATTTGTTGGATCTTTCTTCAATTTATTAGATTTTAAAATATTTTCAATAATTTATATCATAGCTAGATTAAAAATTTCATTCAATTCATAAAAACCTATTTAACGTAATTTTTACAGAAAGAACGAGTCAATCAGCCAAGTACTTACAACCAGAATGCTCACTCCATGCTAACCTATCAATACAATTCTGTCTTTTTTGTTGCTAGGAAGCCATTATGACGATGACGTCATTAGCGTTATATATCATATAAAATAAAAATAAATATTTTATTTCGCATGTCTACCCAGTCAATCAGTTTTGTTCATTAGTTTATTTTATTTATTTTTTTTTTAATAACAACGCTGATTGTTCATTTGTGATTTCATCGTAGGAGACTGTTCTTTCAAGTTATGCATTTGTCTCTTTTAAAAGTAATCATTCAGTTATCATTATAGATAGTTAATTAGTCAATTAAGATGAGAAATTAAAACCAAGTTTAGGTTAAATAAAGTAACCAATTGACCCGTCAGTCACAAATACTTGATTAATTTATTAAGATAAGTAGCAGATATATACATATACGTGGTGAAAGTGTCAAAAAATTAGTTACACATGGTGTGATAGTGTGATGAAGTTTACGACATCGTTGTTAAAACAATTATGAATATATGTAAAACCAAATCGTCCTTATAACCGTCGATGACGACATCGATACTATCACTGATACATGATTGCAATTAATTAATTCACTTGAAAATTAACACGAAGTTTCATATTGCCGCAATTACACAAGCATATTAATAATTTTGATAAGCGTTATATTACGATTTTGTTACCAAAGAATAGCGCGACAATTGTTACCATCATAAATTAAGATTACTATTACTAAAAATATTACTACCATTACTAATTACTTACAATACAACTAGGACCACTAAAACTAGCAAAAATATATCGCATTAACATGGCAATCAAGGATGATCAGTTCTTGAATGTTATTTGAAAGAGCAGTGGAAAAAATGGAATTGATAATGAAGACACACCTATAAAGAAGCTCAGGTTGGCCCAGCTGCCAGTGCAGATGGTTTACAGAGCTGATTGAAGTGAACAGAGATGGTAGCAAAGAATAAAGTTACAGAAGAATCAGTCAGTACTAGAAGGTACAAATTTAAATCATTCAAAATCAGCTTGAGAAACAAAAAAGTACATATGAAAAAGTCACTTGAAGAAAAAATTTGCAAAATGCTAGACGACAATTAAAGGAAATATGTAATAACGTGGAAGAAAAACTGAAAGAGAAAAGTTGAAAGAAATAGAATGACAGTACAAAGTTAAAAAGAGTCTATTCCATAATCTGTATAAAAACTTAAAAAGTCAATAACAAAAGCCAAAGAAAGAGAATGACCATGTGAGTAGAGTAAAACAGTGGACACTTCAATGGTCCATTGCAGCATAAAAGAGAACAATTGGACTGCCACTTATTATAACCATTATTACTACTTATGATAGCGCTGAAACCATCATATTTACTATCGCTATTTTTAATACTGAAGTTCAATGTCCTATATTAGGCAAATAAAAAGGCAAAGATCTCATTTCATTTTAGCTACACTGACGTCAGTTGAATCATGGTTGTACACTTCATTCACCAATCTGTACAACTGGCTGGGTATGCTGGGACCTCTGCAATGCAATCAATCAATTTATTTATTTATTATTCCCTGGTAATCTTTGAACTTATTCTATTACTAAAGAGGAATTTATTGGAAAGAATAATCTGTGAATATCGTTCTAACAAGTTAGTCATGATGAGGGTGATGAACTCTGGAGGGACGAAATCAAAGACGTGATTGTTGATGATTTTGGGGTTGAGCCTCCAGAGAGGGTCGTCTGCAGGCAGGGTTTCGTAGGGGCTCAAGAATATGTTCGACTGTATCTGATGTTGGTGAACGTGACAAAAACAATAAAAAAAATCAACTATTTTTACATTGAATTGAATATATCTCACCAACCTGATCGAAACAGAGGAAATGTTTTTCTGATAACTTGAACGATGGGGCAACGACAATAAACTGCAAAGTATAAATTCAATATTGAAAAAACTGCAAGTACAAGTAAAAATAAGAAGAGAGCCATTAAAGGCGAAAAACTAACAGGTTTGTTCTCAAAAGATGCAACTTGTGCCAAGCTGAGAGACATTATCAACCCTTTAATGCCGCCATTAGAAGTGATTGTGTGAGCACCAACAATGACCTTCGTCACTGTAGACATTATTGCATGCATGGACCCATCTTTGATCAAGGTCGTTGGAATGTCGTGCGAGGCCAGGGCAGCTGCCATCTCCCTACCTTGCTAATTAGGAAAAAATATTAAGATGTGCTCATGACAACATTATAAACAACAACAACATTATGACAACATTGCTCATGACAACATTATAAATAGCAGAAAATAAATGAGAAGCTGATGAGACAGAAGTTAATTAAGCATTTTACATAACTGATTGTTTTGAAGATAGATAATATGATAACATTGAAATGAAGACTTTTATTTATTTTAATACAATACAATACAATACTATACATTACAATACAATACAATCTATTATGTTTATGCTTGGTTTTACTTTTTTTGAGGCTGAAGATTCCAATACCATGACATGAAAGTCCCTTTCTTTAGCTGCCGCCTTTGAAAATTTTCAAAATTTTCAGAGTGAAACAAATTTGTTGAGCACATTTCATTACACTTACATACACAACTGAAGTAGGAAAAAAGTACAAAGCAAAGCATGTATTAACTTTTAAAAACATTTCAACTGTTTTTGATCTGCCCATTGTCATGATCATCTCAAGCGGACGAATTATTTCGAGGGCATGTTTCGCTATGTTGTCTCGACTGTTCAGTTGCAAACAAACGGTAAATAATTTATTTCAAAGAAAAAAAAAATTAAAAATTTATATTCTGGGATATGATGCTATTTTGAAAAATTTGAATGAATAAAATAAAATAATTAATAAATAAACGAAATCTACCTTGCTTCAATATCATCTGTCATTTCTTGTACAATTTCTAAGGTATTTAACTGAAAATTAATCATATTTGGATAGATACAGTTGCCATTCCACATGCATATTAGCATCAAATATTTTCAAGTAACAAAAAATAAAAAATGAGCAATGAATAACTATAAAATTATTACCTTCAAGTCTTTAATCCCTTTGCTAGAAAGACAAATTAATTTTTCAAATTAATGATTTAATTTAACTTTATTTAAATATTATTATTATTAATAAACTATTTAAGTGAAAAAAATTACTTGATTTCATCATGAAACAACTTGAAGACTGAAAGAGAAAATTTGCCAAATATTAATAACATTTATAAAATTAGAAAACAGTCGATAAAACTAATGAACAGGTAATGGTTTGATGGTTCAATGGTTAAAGGCACCTGGTCTTGCTATTGCTATGACTGGGTTCGAATACAAAGAGATCCCCGCCTATCATATGCAATGTGTATGATACGTGGTTTGCACGCGTATTCATATACGCTGTGTGAGTTTGTCGTTGAAACCTCTGAAGCAAACGCAAATAGAGAGAGAAACCTTTAACCTTTTAATGTATAAAAGAAAATTAAAAAAAAACTGACATCTGTTAAAGACATGAGTGAAGCATGTTTCCTTTGGAAAAGCCTCTGCGATCTGCACACTAATCTCTTTGAGATTACTTTTTATATCACTGAGAAAAAATATTATACAAAAAATTCAAATTAATATAAATAGAAAAAATATTATAAAAAATAATGGAAAAAGAATTTTAGAAGTTATTTATTTAGAAAGAAGTGAAATTTTCCAACTCTGTGGTGCTCCAGGGCTCCTCACTGATCAACTCTTTTAACAAGGCACATGTTTGAGTAGCCAGGTTGTACGAACCAATGACATTACTGAAAGTAATTGAATTATTTTTATCAATTAATTATTAAGAAGATTCAGATATAGTTAAGATGGCAGCAATGATAAGTTAGAAAGTTTTTCAGTCAGTATTTCTTCCGATTGAGATTAGTCTTATCTTGTCTTTTGTGTGAAAAGTTTATATAGCTAATTTTAATTTACTGACTCATTTACTGTTTAGTTAGTGTTTCTGTTTATTCATACCGATATGCCAATTTTAGATGTAACACTTCTTAAATTTTAAATAATCAACAAGCCAAATTGTCTGTCAAGTCAATTACAATTTCACTTTTAAATTAAAAAAGACATGGTATGGGCGCGTGACCATGAATGGCGTCACGGACCATGGATGGCGTCACGCGCCCATGCCATGCGTTGTGTAACTAATCCTAACATGTGCAAAAATTAGACACCTAGCTTTATCGTATAATTTATATTTTAACTATTACTTTTTTTTAATAAAAAAACAATAAATAAACTTACAAGAATTTTAAATCTTCGATAAATTTACGAACTCTAGGATTTTTTACTTCATCAAAATCAGAATCAGACTCGCTTGCGCAAGCCATGATTTAAAACTTAGGTTTACTTTTACAAAATAATAAATCTAACAGAAAAACTATGCAAGGACGAAAAGGAGCAGCTTATAGAATACTTAAGATCTATATATAGAGAATAAACAGCTACATTTATTCTTTATATATATAATATATAATATATATATATATATATATATACATATAGGTGTGTGTGTGTGTGTGTATGTTAATATAAGCATATATGAATAAAAATATATGATAAAAAAATAAATGTATACTAAAATCTAAGGATAGAAGTGGTGTTTTGCCGAGTAATGCAATGATTATGGCCAAGTCTACAGCTAACAGCTACATTTATTCTTTATATATATAATATATAATATATATATATATATATATATACATATAGGTGTGTGTGTGTGTGTGTGTATGTTAATATAAGCATATATGAATAAAAATATATGATAAAAAAATAAATGTATACTAAAATCTAAGGATAGAAGTGGTGTTTTGCCGAGTAATGCAATGATTATGGCCAAGTCGATGATATGTACGAACGAAAGGAAAACCTAAAATACTTTTTTTCCTCCAAACAAACCGTTTATTACAATGATACAACAAATTTTGTGGTTAGCTTAGAGAGTTATGATTATGAACTCACTATCATATATTTTTTTAGTTTTTTATTATTGCAGCTCTGACACGCAGAACCACTTACAATGTTGTAGATATTAGGGATGCACCGAAGTTCGGCCCCGGCCAAAATCCGGCCTTTTTTCAAATCCGGCCCCGGCCGGATTTGGTGGCTGGATTTAGGGCCGGATTTAAGCGTCTATCAACATTTAAAAATTTTATAAATTGAAAAAAAAAATTTGTTGAATTCATACATGACATAATAACATCACTAATTGTGAGGTGAGCTGGACAATTTTCTTTGTGCTCTAACATGGGTTATGCATAAATTATAAGCTGATCTTTGTGCAAAAGAACTTGTGCACGTGATATATACTACATAATTGTATATTACGGATGATATAGCTACATAATATATATATATATATATATATATATATATATATATATATATAAGCGTATAATTTAAGAACATGGTATGTTAAAGGTTAGGCTAGACTTGCATGGCACATAATAACAACATCACTAATTGTGAGCTGAGCTGGACAATTTTCTTTGAGCTATAACATGGGTTATGCATAAATTATAAGCTGATCTTTGTGTACAAGAAATTGTGCACTTGTATATAATAGCATATGACGGATGATGCAGCTATAAAGCGCATAATTTAAGAACAATACATTTATTAAGCATTTTTTATTATTGGTGAATTTTATAAAAATGGCTGAAAAAAAATAATAAACTTTTTTTGTACACTGGAATTTTTTCAATAAAAAAACAATCAACACTTTATGCTTTGTGTTATTTTTTGGTGTTCAACATGTAGATAACCGTAAATGTGAGTATTTTTTCTAACGTATGTAAAATAGTAACTAAAATCCGGCCCCGGCCGGTTTTTGAATTTTAAATCCGGCCAAGTCCGGCCCCGGCCGGATTTGAAAAACCTAAATCCGGTGCATCCCTAGATATATTATCTGTATATCTTTTATTATGTTTTTCATATCTTCAACCATTGATTTGAAGCATCCATTTTCGCCACAAAGGCCTTTTCACACGACGTACACACGCGCAAGCACCGCATCATATACGCTGAGTATATGATAGCCATTGAGATGTTTGGCTCAGCGAGCATTTGAACCACTGAGCCATCTCGCCGGCAAACAAGCGACAACTTACGTCGTCTACCCATTTACCAGTCTCGAAAGGATGGACGGCTGGGTTGGCCATATCTAACATTTACTGAGTGTTCTCATTAAAGTTTTTTGATTATTCTGTATATGTGCCAAACTATATCTATTAAGGTGCTATGTGTTGATGTTGAATTTAAAGTGGTGAATTCATCATCTCCCTAACTTTAGAAATTTCATTGCGAAGTCTCCAATCACTGATGCTACTACTCCAATGAAAATCTTTTACGTCGGTATTCCAGGAGTTAAGAATCGGCCGAATAGTTATCCATATGTATTAGTGATTTCGTACTATAGTTCGAGTTTTTGGCTCTGTGGCGCTGATGCAGCGAATCGAGCTGTCAGTTTTTTTAACTAAATTCATGTAACACTCAATCTTCTGAGCATGAAAATGTATAATTTGATAATGGAAATTTTAACGTTTTTGAAGTATCTTGAATTGACTGAACAGTTATCATTATGCATTTTCGCTCGCACTATAGTTTGACATATTTTGGAATGTGGTGCTGATATAGTGAACTAAGCTGGTAGAATGTAAATGTATAACTTGGTAATGGAAATCTTGAAGCTTTTGAACTATATTATCTTGAATAGACAGAATAGTAATTTTTTTTAATTTTAGTTGATTTTAAAGCATTAAATTGGAATTAATTCAACCAAATGTGCGATTTATTCAATTTAATGAAACAGTTAAAGAAATTACATAATTAAGATAGTATTTGTTCACCTTATATCATCTTGTACGTATATTTTGCTCTGTTTCCAATAAAGTTTATAAATCCAAACACTTGGTATATTAATTCAATCAAGGTTCAGTTGTAAATCCGCCTAAAGTAAAAAATTTGTACTGACTTGAATTGCAACGACCGACTTATTTCAACGATATAATTTAGAGACGCAACTCTAATCATTATATGATACAAATGAATCTCCGATTAAGCTCATTATTAATATAGGTTTTAAATTTAATGTAAGAAAAAAACAACAAATGATTGCACTGAAAAAACTTCAGAGGTGATTAATACTTTCTAAAGGTTTACAAATCTTCGGACAAAAAAAAATTTAAATAAAAAAATTTAACAACAAAAAAATGAAGGAAAAAGAGAGTTTTTCATGAAATGAGCAAATATTAGTTGACTCTTCCAAACATGTGTGTTAATAATTTCGCATACAAATTTGTATCTTTGCATACAAATTTGCTTCAACGCACAGAGCAGCTTAATATCTCGCCACAAACATACAAACTTTCATTATGCATAAAAACTTCAATCATGGTACAAACGTCTTCGTAATGTTGTATATAAATTTTTATCTGACTGACATTCAAAAGTGCACGCCTTCAAGGGTATAGATATTTATTATATTACAGTTACCTATAATCATCATCACTATCCTATACTATTATTTTTGTAAAATTAAATTAATTATACACATGTAAAAATATTAACTAATTTTTCATTCATTTATTTATATAATTCAGGGTCCGTAACTTCAATAGAAAAAATGCTTGAATCGCTAAGGACAAAATTTGCATGTTATCAGTAGTAAAAACCGTATTATATATATATATATATATATGATTATATATACATACATATACGTACATACATATATACATACATACATACGCGAGTATATGACATACATAAGGACATAGAGATATTAGACGAGCAAACAATCTTTTTTTGACAATTCTAAATATCGTTCATTAAGTTCTAAAAATACATCGGCACGTGCGTACCCACGAACGCACAAATGAGATAAAATCGAAAAAATTAACCAAAAAATAACTGAATATTGTGTTGTTGATGGAAAGAGTAAAACAAAAAAAAAAATGAATAAACACTATCAATACATTTTTTAAAATAACATATCAATATTTAATAGAAAAAAATAATCGAAACATCACTTCCACAGCTCATGAAATTGGAACATTGGGTTGATTGAATTCGCCTTTTTCTACATAGAAAAACACACAAACAATGGACACACACACACATACACCTACACACATGCAAACAACGAACGCACAGACATATGTATATTTTTACATATAGTATAATAATGTAATCCGAAATAAAACATATGAAAGGCATTTTATAAGCTATATATATATATATATATATATATATATATATATATATATATATATACAGTTATTAAGAAATATCACCACATTTTTCTTGATAATTATTAATTCTTAACAACTGTATATACGGTAGTCTGAACCCAAATATATATATATATATATATATATATATATATATATATATACATATATATTTAGCTACGCGCATAACTATTTAAAAAAACTACAGTTTCATATTGGTTTCAATCCGTCCATCTGTTCATATATCACCATCTGAATATGTTCATAAGCAACTTCAATCAAATGAAAAGGAAAATCAATGAAGTGATGAAAGATATTTGACATATCTATCTGCCTGCCTGTGTGGTTTATTATTTGCTGGTGATGTCGTTGGCTGAATTGAAATACGTGTGTTCATACATTCACACATGTGAATCTATTTGTCTATTCGTGCCTGTTTACGTCTGAATTTGTATAAGAACGTACACTTACGAACGTATAATGACAAGTTTCAATTCCTCTGCGATACATTTGTCGTTAGCTGTTCTGTATGACAATATCCATGCTCCATATAAATAAGTCCGGCCTTTGCTACGTTCAGTTAGTAAAATACCGATAAAAAATTAATAAGTCAATTAATTAATTATTCAATCAATCAATTAATTAATCAATTAAATATTCTTTTGACCAATTGATGTATAAATAAATATCTCAATGTTTGTTTACGACTATCAAAATGGATAAATAACAAATGAATGAATGAATAAATAAATAAACAAATAAATAATTAATAGGTAAGACGATGAGTGAGTGAATGAGAGAGTGAGTGAGATAAGTGAATGAACAAACAAATGCATGAATGAAAGAAAGAAAAGAATGACTAAGAGTATGTGTTGAAGAAAGTGGAGATAGAAAACCAATGGTGGTGAATGAATGGCTACTAAGGAATTCAATCCGTAAGGTAAAGTGAAAATAACTCAAAAATAGAAAAATAATAATAGAATGAATAGAATGATGATAATAATAATGATAATAATAATAAAAACAACAATAATAATGACAATGATGATAGTAACAATAATGATAACACCAATAACACGGATTACTAACAAAATCCAAAAATT